ATACATACATACATACATACATATATATATATATACATATACATACATACATACATACATACATATATATATATATGTATATATATATATATATAAGAAATCGTAGTATTAGAACACCGTGTAACATTATGTGGTTATCATGAAGATGAGCATAATGGTTGAACTAATGTATCAGGTGGGTTAGAAACACAAAACTCCTTGAGCTAAGAAAATCATGGAGTCCAAGTCTCCAATACAATTAATTGACACAAAGTGAGGCTACTTATATTTTGTGCCATTAAGCCCATGAACGTGGTTTTGACATGGGAATCCTGACCATTCTAGAAATTGCAATGATATTGGAACTTGGAAGTGAACCTAATAATCACGCTAGGATGCCATGAGGATAGCATTTAGAGGTGAGAATTGTGATTTCTAGCAACCTAGTTAACATTATGACATAGCCAGGCCTGCTGTAAAACTACCTTACTTTCAGTAGTTATTTTTGTGCGAGGGCTTTACTTGGTAAAATAACTATACATCATCCACTCCAACTCATCCATCCTCATTTTTCCCTTTACCCCCAGGTTTTAGTTGTTGGTAAGATATTTCATGATCTTCAAATACTCGTTAAAAAGGCTCCTGAGACTTTTTATACAGGTATGGTTGATTATGCTGTTTTCTTTTATTTTATTTTTATGATGCTTCACTTTTGTGCTTTTTTCTAGGTGTCCAATGACTATTACGAGATTTATTTATGGTGCTGCGTGCTCTCCTTGCGTTTTTAATCACGCTCATTCATGATTTAATCGTTGTCTTCCACTCTTGTTGGCAGTTCACATAATTTATGGTTGGTTTTTTTTTCATGTAGTATGGTCTCATTAGTATTACTTTTCAGGTGATATCCATGGACAATATTCTGACCTACTACGGTTGTTTGAGTACGGTGGGTATCCTCCAGCTTCAAATTACTTATTTTTAGGAGACTATGTTGATCGTGGTAAGCAGAGCATAGAAACAATATGCCTTCTGCTTGCATACAAGATAAAATACAAGGAAAACTTCTTTCTTCTCAGGGGCAACCATGAATGTGCTTCCATCAATCGAATATATGGGTTCTATGATGAATGCAAGAGAAGGTTCAATGTCCGTATTTGGAAGACATTTACTGACTGCTTCAACTGCCTGCCTGTTTCCGCTCTTATCGATGAAAAGATTCTTTGCATGCACGGAGGATTGTCTCCTGATTTGAAAAACATGGACCAGATCCGGAATATAGCCCGTCCTGTTGATGTGCCAGATCAGGGGCTTATCTGCGATTTGCTATGGGCTGATCCTGATAGAGATATGGAAGGTTGGGGAGAGAATGATAGGGGTGTATCATATACATTTGGGGCTGACAAGGTTGCAGAATTTCTCGAGAAGCATGATCTTGATCTTATCTGCCGAGCTCATCAGGTACATGGCACATGAAACAATTTTATCTGAGCCTTTGACATGTGACTTGTTAAGTTCTTTATTTTTTGTTATTCAATCAGCAAACATGGCTTGTGTTAGTGTCCTTTTGGTTAGATGACCTTCTGTCAAGTTTCTTTTAAATACATGACCTTCTGTCAAGTTTCTTTTAAATACATGACCTTCTTATAGCTTGAAAATAACAAATGCTTAAATGAAGAATGCCACTTCAATACACAAGAATGACTAGAAACTTGTCAGAAGGCTATTTAGCTAAATAACCCGCTTGTGTTATGCTATTATTAACTTATGACCACCATGGCTGCTTATTATACAATCTGTACACGTGGCACTTTGATGGTGCTTAGTTCATGATGATGATGGCTAGTTATTGCTTCTGTTGCAATGTCTTCATGCATTCTTCTCTCCTTTTTCCCTAAGGGCCTGTTTGCTTTGCAGGTTTTGGTAGGATTTGGAATTGAATTCCATTTCAATCCCACGTTTGGTTTAAAGGAAAGTCCAGAATTGGAATCCCACAAACATTGGATTTAGAAATCCGATGGGGAAGTTGGTATTTCATGGGGTTTCATAGGATTTCTTTGTGATAGTGTTTTAAAATATGTTAAAAACATTCATTTTGTAATAATCAATTAGTAAAAGGTAATATAATTATTTATGATTTATTTTTATTTAATTATCTATAAAGAATGGAATTTGATTCCGTTCCAAATCCTACAAACCAAACACACCGAAGGTTCCAAATCCTTCTAATTCCAAATCTCCATGAAATTCAAATCTCTCAAACATTCCGTCAAACCAAACGGGTCCTAAAAGTCTGAGATTCACTATATGCTTGTATTGGGACTTAATTTAGGTGTTGTCTATATTTTATTTGGTTACCACAATTTGATTTTTTCCCCTTTTAGTTACCGCTTTTGCTTGTTGCATTATGATATTATATAGGTTCTATCAATTCATATTATTTTATAAATGATTCTAATTTGCTTTTGGAGGATCGGTAGCTGCATGATTGTTACTTTATGCCATGAAATATGGTTTCCACTTTCTGGTCCATAATCTGAATCATGTGCACTCAGGGTGCGTTTGATACATGGGTCAGGGCATAACAGATCAGGGATCACTGTTCCACTTTTGTTAGGACTTTTATGTGGAACAGATAGAAACACGCCTATTCCACCCCCACCCCATGGAACAAGGTGGAACAGATCAATATTTTTCCAATATTGCCTCAAAATAAAACATCAAATGCGCCTCCCTCCTTGCATTTTGTTCATTCTTTAAGTTCTATTTATTTTATTTTATGCTCTATAAAATTTCACTTTACTGTCCTCAAAATATTATTTTTATACGGTTTTTATATTTCGATTAATTTATGTAATTTATTACATATTAATAATAATTAAAATAATATACAAAGGTATAAAATAAAAATTGTAAACCACATAAACGTTTTATTTTGGTATCATGTTAATTGTCTTGACAAAAACTTTCTAATGATATATTTTGTAATAAAAAATATGTATTTTATTATAATTTAATAAATTGCATCAATTAATCAAAATATATAAACAACTCATAAGGAGTAAATTGGTTATTTTATCTGTGTTGTTCTGTCTTACCAAACGTTAAGTAATTGCCTTGTCGTGTCTGGATACCAAAAGCACCCTCTTAGTGTGGTTTGATTCTTCAAATTTGGTTTACTGTTTTCTTTTTTAAGTATATAATATTTATATACGGCGAATGCAACAAATAAACTCACACACCCTCCTCACCTATGGTGAGGTTTGAACCTCTGACCTCCTAGAAGGCCAAGGGCTACAATACCGCTAGGCCAAAGGCCCTTTGGTTACTGTTCTTACTATCTGTTTATCCAATTCTAGTTCTTACCATCTGATCACATGAAATTAGCTGTTCTAATGACATTTACTCATCTGTGTGATGCTTTTAAGGTTGTGGAAGATGGGTATGAGTTTTTTGCAAACCGGCAGCTCGTAACCATATTTTCTGCCCCAAATTACTGTGGTGAGTTTGATAATGCTGGTGCAATGATGAGCGTGGATGATACGTTGACCTGTTCCTTTCAAATTCTCAAGGCGTCGGAAAAGAAAGGGAAGTTTGACTTTGGCAACAATATCTTGAGACCAGGAACTCCACCACACAAGGTAAAATGAGGTTCCCTTGTCGCAAAATAGAAGCACCATCTCTTTGTTGTTAATATGTTAATCTATGCATATTATTGAGGTTCTTCGTCACTATTATGATGCCAATTTGTGAATGTTTGGTTTTGCAACATGTGATAAGGGTGTTCTTGCGTTCTTGTTTGAACGTCCACCAATATATATATATATATATATAAGCTAATCATCTGAGAACCTACAAAATTATGAGAACCTTGAGAACTGGTGTATCATGTGTGTGGTATTTCATGATTCTTTTCCGTCAAAGACTAGAAGTTATGGTAGATTAACATATATTTGTTTCACAATGTGAATCTTTTTAGCGTGTTTGTGAACAAAAAATACACGTAAAAAAAGTTTCCCATTGTGTATATAATACATATGAAATAAACATATGTTAATCAACACATTAAATACTAGCTTTAGATGGAAAAAATCATGTGAAACTTAAAAATAAAAGTTGTCACGGTTAACCCAATATATAGGATTATCATTTAATATTTGATTAAACCCCCCAAAACTGAAGAGAAGACTACTATGATAAACATTCATCTGGACGGCATGCATATGTGCATGATAAAGTTGTTTCTTGGATTTTATGCATGTGTGCATGCTATGCACATGTTCGTACTAGACAAAGCTGCTTACAAGTTACTTGTATGCACATGTGCGTACCTTCTAGATGAACGGCTACCAAGATGTTTCTTAGTTTTTCATTCTTTTGCGGTTTTTCTCTGAACCTAACCCTTTGTTTCACAATGTGTTTGTTTCATATGTTCTCTATTCACAATGTGAAACTCTTTTACGTGTACTTTTTGTTTCACAAACATGCCAAATAGGTTCACATTGTGAACCAAGAACCTGTGAAACAAATATATATTAATCACTACATTAAATTCCAGCTATAGATAGAAAACAATCATATGAAACAGCACATGATGCACTAGTTCTCAACGTCATCACAATTTCATGGGTTCTTAAAAGAAGGTCCTCCCATATATATATATATATATATATATATATATAGAGCGAGTTTGTTTCAAATGCAACTCTTCGCATTTGTACAACCAATACAACCTAATAAATTGAAATATTTATGATGTATTTGTATTCTAATGCATGTATATTGGTTTGAGATTTCAGGGTGGAAAGAGATGAAGTTGTGATTGAAGATGATATGGTTGGTATCTTTTGATGTGTTTCCTAAATTCAGCAGTATTGTTCAAGCAGGAAAGGTACAATTGCTAAAGCTTCAATTACCTGCTATTATATCTGCATCTTTTTCTTAATGTAAAACAACTTACATGTTGCATCTAATTCTACTTCAACTTTGCTTCTTCTTCTTCTTCTTCTCTCTTTGCTGCCTTTTCAATCTCACACTTTTTCAATGTCAAAGATGGTTTTGCAAAATGACCTTCCAAATGTATTTTTCAAGAACAGGTTGTTTTATGGGCTGTTTATTAAATGCTTATTCGGGTAAGCGCTTACTAAGTCACATTACCTTATTGGATGAATATGATAACGACTAAGAATCTTACCTGTTAAGAACGAGACAAGGGTGACGACTATTACCACGGTAAGCGCTTACCAGGTAAATCGTTGTATACGATGTTTTGGTGGACTAAAATCTTACCCGGTAAGTAAATGATAGTGTTAAATTTTACCGGTAAGCACTTACCGGGTAAGTGTTCATTGAGAGCAGTTCGGAATTTAGAGATGGCCAAAATCGGTCCCTGGTGGGGACTTAAAACCGGGCCGGCTTGTCCTGACCAAAAATCTTAGGACCAATTAAGGCCCGGTTAATGGTCTCGGTCCTAGATCTAGTTCTGGCCTCCTGGGATGACCCGTTTAAGAAAAAATAAGTTTAGAGATTTTAACATAAGTTATATTACTATAATATTCTCTATATCATCTTAATACATTTAAAAAAATAATAATAACTCAATCTTATTGATGGAATTGAATAAATAATCGTTTCTCTCTCCTAATATCAAGTTTTAGAGGATTCTCTATATTTAGAGATTTTCTCATGATTCTCTTTTTAGAGAATAAGATAGAAAAGATGTTGGAGTATTTTAGAACTAGAAGGATACTCGCACAAGGCATCGAGATACAAATCAATTTTAATATTTCTTTTTATTTTTTTTGTCTTAGTCGATGTTAGAATTCGGTTTTATGTGGTTTTGAGAAAACGATAATGTTTTATTTTTGAATAAAGTATAAATATGGAGATATATCATAAAACATTGGAAAAAAATATTGATATTGTTACCAAACTAACTATTTAAGATTTCTCTTTTTTCTATTTATTTCTTTAATTCATGGTTTAATAATATAATTTTTTTATAATGATAATAATTAAGTATTTTGTTAAAACTCAATGATTATCCTAATTATATTTTAGATTTTTTATATTTAAAATAAGATGTTTATTCTCTATTTGATTTAATCTACGGATTCAAACATGAAGCTTTAATAAATTGTATTTACGTATAATTTACTTGTAATCTTGAATTTTAAGTAATATGCATCAATAAATAATACTTCTTACATAAAAAATAATTTTTAAGAGTTTTTGTTAAATCATTTATAATATAGTTTAGATAAAAATTTAGTTTTTATTCTATTCTAAAGAAAACAACACTATGTACCATAGAGACCATTGTAGAAGTTACAACGATTATGTGATGTCATCATTTACTAACATGGATGAACAATGTGTCTTGAAAACCTTTACAAGGAAAATATTGAACTTTTTAGGAAAGAAAAAGAATAATATGGAAAATATTATTTGTACTTCCTCTCGAATTCGGAATAAAAATTACAAACAAGTTTTTTTAGTATATAATATTTATATACGGCAAATAGAACAAATAAACTCACACATTCTTCTCACATTGCATGAGGTTTGAACCTCTGACCTCTTAAGAGGCAAAAGACTCGCATACCGCTAGGTCAAAGTCCTTTTGGTAACAAGTTTTTTTTTTTTGAACTATATAATATTTATATACGGCAAATGTAACAAATAAACTCACACACTCTCCTCACTTATGGTGAGGTTTGAACCCCTGACCTCCTAGAATGCCAAGGGTTACAATACCGCTAGGTCAAAGACCTTTTGGTAACAAGTTTGTGACATCTTATGAAAAAAAATGCTTTTATAAGGAGAATTGAGAAAAACAAATATAAATGATATATTTATAAAAATGACATTTTTTCCTCTCCAGTTTAAAAGGTGAATAAAAACTCCTCATTTTTCAAGAATACGAGTATTGAAATAATATGTATAAATCAATAACATGTACAAAATCTTTCAGATTTTATACCATTCTTAATTTCTTCGTAAACAATAATAGTGAAACTTGAAAACTACAACGGTGGGGATCCAACCTTTAAGCACTCAGGGAAAGCCTTAGTCAAAAACCAAAAAGTTTTGTTGACTAGCATAAATTTTCTATTTTCACCATCGTCTTATATGGTTTTCCCGAGTCTCATATGGCCATATGCTTCCTTCCCCCAAGTCCCATCAAACGTGCCCCCAACCCCATTATTTCCTAGATCTGCCACTGCTGGTGGTCGATTGGTTTGAGTTTAGGCTCTAAAGATCAAAAGTGCCTTGAGGTCTCAGGTTCGAATCCAAAGAGAAAATAAAAATTCTCTTGTGGCCACGAAAGTTCAAATGCGGTGATTTTGGACTACTCGAGAAGTGAGTGATTGTCCCGAGATTAATCGACTCGTATAGCAGGTTGGATATATATGTTAATTAAAAAAAAGTGAAACTTGAAAGGTGTATGGTAACTTATAGTACCCTTTACATATGAATGAGATCAAGTGCTTGAAACCTATAGATTTATATTATTTTATTTATAAAAATCTATACTATCTCACTGAATATTATTTGATTTTTTTAATTAAATAAATTATTATAAAAAAAGAATATTTTTTTTAATTCAATATCTATATTGATATTAACCCGATTTACAATTTATATTACATATGTACAACTTATTAATATGTTTAAAGTTTATAAAGTTAATTCAGTGATCAACATGTTCAAATACAAATTAGGGGTCGTTTGTTTACCTCATAATAGTTCCATTTAAAGGCAGTCTCTGAATTATTAAGAGGTGAATCTTGTTTGGCAAAAAAAAGTCTGACTCTTAATGGTTCCAAAATCCTTTGAATAATTTTTTATCTCGGGCCTCCCTTAACCATTCAGCGTCCTAATTTCATTGTAAACAATTACCAAACAATTATATTGTATTGTGCACTATATCATGAGAGTCTCTTAATCATTCTGATCAATTAGTCATTATACACCAAACCATTCAACAATTGTCAAACAGTCCATTAAATCATTCTATAAAACTAATAACCACGTCCCTATTTATGAAATAATTACAATTTTGATCACTGTAATTGTCGTTTTAGTACACTTTTGGTCCATTTGACTAACTTTTACCAAAAAAAGTCCGTTAACTCGTAGCCTTTTGATCATAACCCCATCACTTCCCCCTCTGGTGAAATTATTCCAACTCTAAAAAAAAAACTAAATCAAAATTCCAAATCCACATAAAAAAAAATCCTTCAATCGAAACCCATATAAAAAACGAAAACTCATTCAGGCATTTCAATTCGTTTAATCCAAATCAAAAACTAAAATCTGTTCAAAATCGGGAACACAAGATCGACCTACATCCTTCCTATTATTTGATGGGTTCAACACACTACTGTAACCGTGACTCCCCTACCATCAACTTCGTGTACATCTTTTTTTATTGGAGAAGCCAAATCGGGACTACATAACAATTTTGGTATATATAATCTATAGAACGGAATCAACGATGTGTTTTAGGGGTCAAATATGTCGCCGCAAGATTCATGACCATGGTGTCAAGTTTGTCATAAAAAAAACCCTAGAGTGGTGGTTTGGGCAAAATTGCATGAAAAAGTAACGTACTTTAACTTGATTTTTATTTTGGGTAACGTATTTTCAAAACTTCTATTTTGGTATCTAAGATGTAAAACTTTAAACATTTAAGTACCCGAGTAACCAGTTGAAAATTAATTTTAGATTAAAAAAATATCGTGTCACTAACCACGTAATCAAATAATACTTAGTTGGATACCACATCACTCGCACATCAACATGATAATTGGTTAATGTTTCAACCGGTTACCCGGGTACTTAAATGTTTAAAACTTTATATCTTAGATACCAAAATAGAAGTTTTGAAAGTATATTACCCAAAATAAAAATCAAGTTAAAGTACGTTACTTTTTTCCATGTAATTTGTCCATATGACTTCAAATCAAAGGTTTAATTAAAAGTCAAAGAAACTGTAAAAAGACAAAAATACCCTTAGAATTAAACACACTTTAGTAACACCAGTTAGTTAGAGGGACAACCAGAAGAAGTCATTTTATTGGTTAAAGTGTAATTAATTTAAAATAAAGACAAGTCTTAACAATGAGTGAAGAATCAAAGTTTAATTTACCCTATACCTTATTATCTAGAGTAAATTACAATTTTAGTCCTTGTGCTTTGTTAGAAAATTTGATTTTAGTCCCTATGCTTTGTTAGAAATTTCAATTTTTATCCCAATGGTTTAGAAATTTTAATTTTCATCCATATGGTTTGCAATTTAAAATTGCTATGTTTGTGCCTATACTAATTCCTATCTCTATGTACAAGCAAGGACGATACCTATAGTAGTGCATACGGTGGCACGTGCCACCGTATTATTCCTCCATCGAAGAGTAAAAAATTTGGGTTCGTCAAAGGTGCAACTATATTAATTTGTTATTTGTATTCGTATGTATTTTGAAACTACAATGAAAACAAGTTTTATTTGATATAGTTGGCTTGCAAGACTTTTATTCCACCCCAGACTCAAGTTCAAATTTTGTTAATGTCATTTTCTTAGTCAAATTGTGTCACCGTTTGAAATTGTTTTCCTATATTTTTTTTCTTATAGTCAAATGATGTCATCGTTTGAAAAAATTTATGTGTCCGTCACCGAGTACAAAGGTCGAAAACAGTAAATAATTGTAAATTGTAAGTTATAAGAACGAAAATAACAATAAATCACAACTATAGAATCGAAAATAGCAGTTTTTAAAATTACAAGGACAAAAATCGTAACTTTTAACAAACTACGGGGACTAAAATCGTAACTTACTCTCTTTTTTTTCTATGTGATACTGATATACATGCCTGATATACATACCGTTACCTTCAAAAACCTACTTTTGGTTTTACCCTTTTATCTCGTCTTCGTCTATCGGCACTTCAAAATTTCAGTCGAGGAACAAGTGCGTGAAACTGATAGCTTATCGCCTCCGATTATGGCCGGAACGGTGATAAATCCGGCGCCGGTGACTAGGACGGTGGCTATGTCAACCGGCCAGACACCGTCTTCGTCTTACGTCAACTCTTTCCGCATTTCGGCTGTCGTTGATCGATTACTTGTTCACGTTGGCGATGGATCAAAGAGCGATAAGAATGAGTTTTTTAATCTATGCCTCTCCCTTGCCAGGTTTTTCTTTTTGTTTCAAATCCTATATCTGTAATTTTTGGTGAAATATACTGCGTATAGTTTTTCTCATGCATTATGCGTTTTGTATCCACATTTATGGTGGAAACTGATTGTTGTTTTGTTATTAAGCCCCAATATTTGGTTGCAGATGGATAAATTGAGCCTCGATTACACACACACATACACAAATACAACTGATATATTCCAGCTAGGTGGTATTTCAAGAGACAAACTTGAATATGGTGAAATCTTTCACTTAGGGCATGTTGTCAGCAACTTGAATATCGGGCTGTTTGGTTGGGTTTATATTAAGTCCTGCATGGATAAAGTTGTCTGTGTGGATTAATCTATATCTATAGATTGTAAAGGTTTTTGTTTGAGTGAGTTTTCTCATAGATGGAAAGAGCTTGTTCTTCAATTGTGAAAGGCAGGTTTTGAAAAACTTGGCTTTCTGCATAAAGCTCCCCTAGAAGCTTACTGAATAAGCAACTTTTTATATCATTAAGCCACTACCCAATAGTCATGTATAGCTGACCGAATAAGATGCGAGTCCATTAAGCTCATCAAGTTGCTAACAGACATAAGAGTCTTTTTGCATGATTTTCCTTTATGACTTTGTGAAGTTGAAATATTTCTGGTTGTCTTTTTCAAAGCTACTTGTACTCTTCCATCACCAATGCCTATTTCCTTTCTTCTTGTTACTTCAACTAGTGATGCACAATCACAGGGAAATCAGTTTGTTCCTGTAGGTTCTTCCAAATATGCTTTTTCCGTCAACTCTATTTGTTGTTAACATGTATGCCATATAATTTACAACCTTAATAGTTGTTTCTGATCGTTTTGTGCTTCATATCATCCACCACATCATTTTATTATACTCATATATATATATATATATATATATTTAGCGTATGATAGCTCCTTTTCAATCAAAATCTTACACTGACTAGCTAGATATACATTGACAATTGCAGAGGTATCGACTATGCTGTTGCTCACAATGAAATTCCTGTGAGAGCTCCAGACTTGCCTTATTTGTTGAAGCAGGTGAGTTCTTTATTTTATTTTGACATTAACGGTAACATGTGGGTTTAAGAAATTCAATCTCTTAATACAATTATGCCTTGAACGTTGGTCTTTAATTGCATGTATGGTATTGATAATAGCTGACCTAGCTTGTCTATTAATACAATAAAATTGGCTTTATAGGACGCCTAAATTGTCTAAGCATTCTAATAGAATACTTAATAGACTTAAGCTTATAGGACCAAACTATAAAGCGTCCTATCTAAAAGCTTTACTAGGTTTATTGGACGCTTTTAGGCGCTTTAAAAATAAAATGTCCTATTAGCTATTTTATAGGACAATTTTGAAAAATGTCATATAAACTCAATTTTATAAGACCCTTTTCAAATAGCGTCGTATAAAATAGTTAATACGACGCTTTAAAGGCGTCCTAATAAACCTATTAAAACGCCTAAAAGCGTCTTATAAACCTTTTGTAACACTTTCAGATAGGACGCTTTTTGGTTTGGTGCTATAAAGTTAAGTTCTATAAAGTTATTTTCTAGGATGCTTCTACATTTTAGGTATCCTATGAAATAAATTTTGTTGTAGTGTATTCGTATGCCTTAATAATTGGTGGGACTAGCTCCAATTGTTTGGTAAATGTTAGTTGTATGCTCATTTCGATGAAGTACTATGAGTGATTCTATCTAATTGAAGTGATACTTTGATACATTGTTCTTCTTGTAATGGAGTTTATGAGCGCTATGAAATTCACTTCTCTTGTTTTCTGATCACTTGTCTTTGCTTAGAGAGGTATGAATTGGCCATGTTTATGGATGCAATATGGGTATTCTAAATCTTGATTGTACAAGCATATCACTTCTTATGATGATTAATCCCTTTTTGAAGACTGACAAAGTACCCCTTTTTTGCTGAATACGAGTCCATGGTGACATAAAACAATAAAAGGAAATCATACTTACGTACATACATATGCATAAAGTCGTGTTGGCTCAATACACGCATACATATGCATTCTTACTGCTTTTACTGTTTACTGTTCTTGATGCTTGTTTACACTATATTAATGGCTTGTTATGTACGACTCATAGCTAAGGTTTTTCTAGTATTCTTATCATCTTATGCCCATGAGACATGAAATACCGACAACCTTTCTTTTCTAGGGAAGACATTAATCGTAGAGACAATGGAATTTCCATAGTGATTGAAGATACCTCAAACATTACTTGCAAATAAAAATTCTCAACAACACAATTCTTTAATCCACTTATCTTTTAAATTATGTGCTTAGTTATGTCAAAGGAGAGATGATACCCTACTCCATGCAGCTATCATGGTGCTGCTGATCTCTATAAAGGTACTCTTATATCTTGATTTCTTTCTCTCTCTTCCGCGGAGGGTGTGCACAAGTTGATGGAAGTCGTTCATGTAATTTAAATAATTTATTCATCATTGTTTGTTGTTTTTATGACTTAGCCATCTTGCAATTTCTGATTTCTTTTCGTAAGTTATTGGTGATATGATTTACTTTGCAGTTTGCATCAAGGACCAAGTTGTCATTGATTTTGTTCACTAAATATGGGTGTTACTTGGTCTAGTTACTACTTTAATCTGAAAGTCCAATCCCGACTCTCTTTGCAACAAAGTGGTATATGACAGTGTTATTAGATTCATCCTGTAGATCACTGGATAGTATTCTTTCGAGAAAAGATGTTTCCCTCGTCAGAGGCGGACCCAGAAAATTTTCTAGGTGGTGGCACAATTTGACTATAAAATCAGATCTGCTGAAATATTCCAGAATATTAGTATAGATTGGTTGGTTGGTTCCTTGTCCTTGCACAGAAAGGACCCCATGTTCGAGTCCATGCTGTAAATTTTTTATAAAACAAAAAAGAACACCAAAATTTGAGCTGAAAACTAAAAAAATTGACAAAGGTGGGACTGGAACCTGAGGTTTTCATACAAAGTGAGCCACTTTTACCAACTCTGCCATTAAAGACTTACGTCAAAGCTTCAATTTTAAAAACCATATGGTGGCATCCAACAAAACATTACGGTGGCACCCTTCATAAACATAATTTTTTTCTCTCCCTTACAATGGTACCATGAAGTGGTGGCCTGGCAAGGTGGGCCAGAGAAGTTGCATAAGACTGGGCAGGGTAGTTCAAGCGTCTTTGCATGGCAAGGGTGAGATTAGTGATAGATGTACAGACTGTTGAAGCTTGATATGGTTATAGAATCTTTCACCTACAAACATAAGTGTGTGTGTACGGTTGGCGACTTAAAACAGAAAAACAGCCTGAAGTAGGTGGATCCTTAAGCATGTTTGATAGAAGTTATCTTGGCTCCATATGGAGTACAGGACCTCTAATATTTTTAAACAACTAGACGGATCCTAAAGCGTGTTTGATTCTTCATGTCGCGATAATTACTTTGAAAATGCACAATCCAAACAGTCAAACACCCCCTTAGGGTGCGTTTGGCATCAGGACAAAACAAAACAACTGTTCAACATTTGGTGAGACAGAGTCATAGAGGACAGGATAGAACAGATAAAATGACCAATTTTCCTATAACAAGTTGTTTATATCTTTTGATTAATTTATATAATTTATTAAATTATAATAAAATAAATATTATTATAACAAAATATATTATTAGAAACTTTTCTTCAAGACGATTAAAATGACACCAAAATAGAAAGTTTATGTAGTTTCCAATTGTTATTTTATACATTTTCTATATTATTTTATTATTATTAATATTTGATAAATTACACAAATTAACCAAAATATAGAAACTGTATGAAAGTAATATTTTGAGAATAGTGAAGTGAAAGTTTTAAAAACATAAAATACAATAAAATTTAAAGAATGAATAAAATGTAAAGAGGGAGGCGTATTTGATGTTTTAGAATAGAATTAGGTTTTATTTTAAGGTTATATTAGTAAAATATAGGTTTGTTCTACCTTGTTCCATGGGCTGATGGTGGAATACGCCTGTTCCACTTTGTTCCTTTCAGTCTATTCCACGCAAGTCTTGCCAAACATGGAATAGTGATCCTGTTCTATTTTGTCCTATCCAGTGTACCAAACGCACCCTTAGAGATGAACCATGAACAAGCATTGAAAAGATTTCTGCAGGTTCTGTTTATGCCATACTAATTTTTCTTTGTTGTACATGTCTTACTTCCTCGATATTTAAATCTTGTCACCTTGTTTTATATAGAGTGCATGTAGAAATGGATGGTTTGATGCGAAGGATAGTGAAGAACTTCATATTCTTTTGAGTGAGGTCCGTAAATGGTTGTTATAACCGTTGATGTTTACTTTTCTTCCATTTTTTGTAGCACATTCTCTTATCAAGCCTACTCTATTGTGATTGTAGATAGCAAGTAGTTTCTGCAGTGTTGAAGATATGAACTCTGAAGAGGGCACATTGCATCGCAACATCTCAACAGTTATGTCAAGGTACTTGTGATGTCTTGCTTGGTGGTTTTTTGCATTGATTTCATCCCTATCTAGTTGTTTATTATGATCATATTGTGTAACAATGTAACATCCCAGGCCAACCTTATCATATATTGTCTACTTTGTCCACACTTAGACTCACGGTTTTAAAAGCATCTGATAGAAGAGGTATCCTTCCTTATAAGGCAACCTTAGTTCACCTCCCCAACCAATGTGGGATCTTACAATTCACCCCCATGGGAGTCCGGCGTCCTTGTTGGCACCAGTCTGGTTCTTGGCTCTCATACCATTTGTAACATCCCAAACCAACCGTATCCGATATTGTCCGCTTTGTCCACACCTGGACTCATGGTTTTAAAACGTGTTTGATAGAGAGGTATCTAGTGCCTTATAAGGCAACCTCAATTCTCCTCCCCAACTGATGTGAGATCATACATATTGGAAATTCTTTCATTTTAAACTTTAATGCGATCATATGTTTTAAGGCCGTAGTTGGACAAAAATGGGGTCATTATGCTACACCACTATTGTAGGGCCTGAATTTATGGGAGCGAATCAGTTATAACATGAGATATACTTCCACAAGTTTCTATTTAGTTTTAACTTCCATAAATGGGAAGTTAATATTTCATGAAATTGAAATTTTTGAAAAGACGATCCTCATGGACATAGAACAAGTGTCTTTTAGTTTGGAGGATCATTCCTTCTTCACTCTCTTGCTATTACCCGCAGGGAGCGCAGCAACCAAGGTGCATATTATCATATAGAAAGAAGCGAAGCGTAGCRATTCGTACTACCGGAAAAGTTTCGCTAGTTGTTTTGATTGCACCTATCGAAGAGTCATGTTCATTACAATTTTCTTTTGGTGTGTGTGTATTTACACACACATATAGGGTCAGGTTCATGGGAAAACCACAAAGAAAGAATGAAAACTTGAGGAACACCGCGGTAACCATTCATCTGGACGATGTGCATATGTGCATGCAAGTAATTTTTAAGCAATTTGACCGGTATGCACATCATGCATAACATGCACGCGTGCATAAAAACCAATAAACATAAAACCAAGAAACAACTTCAAATACTTGTATGTACATATGCATATCTTATATATGAATGGTTTACCAAGGTGTTCCTCAATTTTTCATATTTTCGGGGGTTTTCCCCTGGACCTCTCCCCCTCTCTCTATGTATAGGGGAGGGATATTTTGCAAATCAAGCCATTTGAACAAACCGTGAAAACCGTCGATTTCATTGTTTATTTTAGTGAAATTTTTTCATGAAATTGTCTAATCTGATGAAATTGTTTCAATTAGTTATGGACATTATCATCTTCATTCTATTAATTTTAGTAAACAAATTTCATCAAAATGAGAATTTTATGAAACAATGTAATTTTTACATAGAAACAAAAATATATGAAACATTTTCATCAAGAATTGAATTATTTGAAACAATTTCATGAAAAAATCACTAAAACAAACAATGAAATTGACGGTTTTCACGGCTTGTACAAATAGCTTGGTTTGCATTTTATTCCTCCCATGTATGTATATATATGTATGTATGTATATGTAATCTTTCTAGCAACTATGAATGGTAGTTCTTCACATATGAAGGATAAATCTTTGTAGGTAGCTTGCTAGCAACCCGATGGCATGTCTAGTAGTTTGAACCCGTGACCTCCTAGGAGGCCAAAGACTCACATACTGCTAGGCCAAAGGCCCTTTGGTATGTCTAATAGTTACAGGGGCCATCTTCAAAACTGATATGAATTATAACTGAAATGAAAGACAAATCTATGTAGATAAATCTCTTTAAATTGAGGAGATGTTATGTTTTGATTGATATAAAATTGTAAATTCTCATCAAAAGGACCATTCCTTCAGGTTCTATCCAAGAATGAGGATGGGTAAAATACTTGTTTCTGTTGAGGCTAAGGTAATAGTGTTTCATTTTCCTCAACTAATATTATCGTAAAGATTTATGCACTAATTATCATTTTGTCTATATTGTAGCAAGGGTATGGAACATTTGTGAACGATTTCTATATTACAAAGAAAACAATATCTTCTGATGATAAAATAGTAAGCATTTCTAGTCTTGTTGCTCCTATTCAGCAATCCATCTCTTCCAACGTGAATTGCTTATGCCTGTATATATTAACTTGATGCATGACAGCAAGGTCGACCTATTAGGTCCAGTGCGGGTTCTCGTGCACCCGCTCGATCTTATTTTATAAGGAATTTTTTTTGGGGTACGAAAGGTGCACCTGCTAAAGTTGAGGGGGGCTCCAAAATATTAGAAAATGCAACGAACATCAACCAAAAATCCGAAAAAGTCTCTCGATGTCAACCAAAAATCAACCAAAAAGAACTTTAAAAACTCTTGAAATCAACCAAAAAACTTAAAAAGTTCTTCGAAATGGTGGAATTTAGATAAAAACACATCAAGCAACTTTGGGGGCTTTTTATTCACCTTAAAGATGCCCGCGCTCGGTAAAAATCCTGGGTCCGCCACTGTATGACAGGTGTTAGCTTTTTATCATGTATTCTGATTATTAATTGTTTTAATCAAAACTTTGGGTCACAAAGCGGTGGTTTTATCAGTGAAGTTAATCACCGTGGTCCATGACCATGACCTTATGTTTTTATTCAGAGTCATGTATGCAAATTTTTCGCTTTCTTAGTTCTTTTTCTCTTTTTAACTTCACTGTAGTGTTTGTTTGTTGCTCAAACAGATAATATGGAGACATCGTCATGCATCATAAGTCCCCAGCAAGTCAAGTATGTGTTTCTTTTAAGGGCGAAATGCATCAAAATTTAACCAATTTTGCCTTGGTTCCTATTTAGTGTACCAATTTTTTTTCTTTCTCAATCAATGTTACAAAGTTTTCAAAGTTTCCTATTCAATGAACAAAGTTTGAAAATTTCCTAACTTTCCCCTGATCTTGCAACACTAATATTCCGTTTTAAAATTTATTGTCTACTTCGCCATCACCTTATGGTAAGCGTTTCTTAAACGGGTGTCCACGTCATTTAATGTTACAAATCAGTAGGTTTCTTGTCAAAATGGGTACAAGATAGGTTGTGAAACTTTGTTATTTCGATTGAAAAAAAGATTTATTCGTTTACAAAGAATAGGAACTAAACCAAACTTCGTTGAACCTTACCCTTCTTTTAATTCCTTCTACTTTCTTTTCACAAAACACTTGTGCATTTAAAGTAGTCTGACCGTAATTGTTTATGTTCAATTTCTAGCTTCTTGTTGAATGGAAGAGCTGTGGATAGGAGGACTTGTGCTCACAAGGTTTGATAGAATGGTCCATAAGTTTACTCTATTTATATAGGTTCAGGTTCAGATTCAGGTTCAGGTTCAGATTCAGGTTCAGGGGAAAACCACAAAACAGTGAAAAACTAAGGAACACTCTGGTAACCCTTCATATGTACGGTATGCACATGTGTATTCAAGTAATTTATAAGTAGTTTATTCTGTATGCACATGTGCATGACATGCACTCATGCAAAGAAACCAAGAAACAACTTCAATTACTTGTATGTACATGTGCATACCGTCTAGATGAATGGTTACGAGGGTGTTCCTCAGTTTTTCATTTTTTTGGGGGTTTTCCCCTGAGCCTCTTTCTCTCTCTCTCTCTATATATATATGTGTGTGCGTGTGTGTGTGGTTGCAGGGGGTTGTGCCCCATTTTGTTGTAACATATTCTTATTTCTTTTATTTTCCTATCAGGATACCGGACCACAAAATCCAACACTTGTAACACATATGCTTAAGTATGGAACCAATCTTCTTCAAGCGGTGGGCCAGTTCTATGGTATTTAATTCACCCATTGCCCTCCATTTCCAACATAGTTTATATGCTTTCGCTCCTTTATTTAAATTGTTTGTAATCTTTGTTAGGGAAATATATTATAGTTGTTGCCTTCATGAGTAAGGTTCCGATTCCAAGCTGTCCTTCCCTTCCAGATTATGTGCCACCACCACCAGCTGCTGCTCCTGATTCCTCAGGTATACCCATGTAATGTATGAGGAAATAGCATGGGTGTTGGAGTTCCACATCGGCTAGACTTGGACCATTTCTCTTGTGTATATGTTGGAACCTCCCCTTTCTCCTCAAGGGCTCTTTTGGAGAGTGATATGGGGTTCCACATATTCTCACATGGTATCAGAGCCAAGGTTTGCCACTCTAGGGACCCGACAGTCTAGCTAGCCCCCTCTCAACACTATCGGACAATTTGTGTCCATCTAGCCTCCGTTGGACTTGGACTCTTGGAGGGGGCGTGTTCGGGTCTCACGTCGGCTAGACTTGGATCGTTTCTCCTATATATATGTTGGAACCTCCCCTTTCTCTTCAAGGGCTCTTTTGGAGAGTGATCTGAGGTTCCACATATTCTCACATGGTATCAAAGCCAAGGTCCGCCACTCTAGGGACTTGACAGTCTGGCAAGCCCCCTGTCTACACTATGGGACAATCTATATTCATCTTGCCTCAGTTGGAGAGGGCGTGTTGGAGTCCTACATCGGCTAGGTTTGGACCATTTCTTTTGTACATATGGTGGGACCTCCCCTTTCTCCTCAAGGGCTCTTTAGGAGAGTGATCTGGGGGTTCCACATTTTCTCACAATAGGTGGAATCAGTTGGAACATATGCTTGTTTGATGTTCTTATCTATATGTTTTTTGTTTGTTTCTCATGATAGATAATGATATAATCGAAGGGCCATCTAGAATATCACTAAATTGCCCCATAAGGTATGCCCCATGCCCCATACTTGTTTCTGAAGATATTATTTCTTAAAGTTACTAAGATGGTTCATGTAATTACTATAACCAACCACAAAGTTGATATATGAGGCCATACTTGGTGTTCTGGTACTCATTTGTTTCACTTTGCCAATTTCCTGTCCTCTTACATTAATTGCTAATCCAGTTCAATAGCATTTAATTATAATAGAATTACCAAAATAATTATCTCGACTAGTTAATGTCTTTGGATTTGGGTTCTTGCTTTTATACAGCTTCAAACGTATCAAGACACCGGTCAAAGGACAATTGTGCAAACATCTTCAGGTTAGTCTCCATCCTGTTGTACTCTTCGGATATGTTGGTTAATTTAGGGTGTGTTAGGCACACAGACCGGATTGGACTGGACTGACGGGCGAGAGTGAGGTAGGCGGGTGAAAGAATTGGTGCAAGGTTTTAGGGTTTTAATTTGACGTGGGTAGTTTAGTAATATACCAATCTTGTCCGATCTCACTGAATTTTTCATAACTGCTCAAGACAGGCTTGAAATCCCCTCCCCACTTTTGTGTATATGCGACCCTGCCATGCCAGCCTCACATGAAAGGGTTGCATAGGCCACCAAATGCCTAAAACTTGTGGTACATCATTCCACGACCCTTGCCCTTATGATATGCGACCCTGGTACCCTGCCACATGCCACCACCGCATACCAGGGTCACATAGACCTGTCGGGGCCCCCTTTTGGGTGAACTTCTTGGCAGTTTTTGGTGCTTTGCCCTCTAGCCCAAAGTTGCCATATAAAAGCCATTTTGTTTCAGTTTTTGATCAAGTTTCTAGAGGAAAAACTTCTTGTCTTCTTCCATAAGAAGGAGATGACAGCTTACTCCATTTGGCTTTCTACTAGTTTTGGGTGATCATCGTCTCTTGTAAGTTGTTTTTTACTCCCCTTTGGTATATCAATAGAAGTGATCGGGGGCGGACCTATTCATGCTCTAGCGGGGTCTCGTGCATCCGCTCAACTGAATTTCGAAAATAAATTTTTTCGGGGGGTATGAAAGGTGCATCCCCTTAATTTTGAGCGGTCCTCCTGGATATTAGAAAATACAAGGAACATCAACCAAAAACACCAAAAAAAATCCCTCGAAATGGTGGAGTTTGGCTAAAAACACATCGGGCGACTTTGCGGGCCTTCTATCACTTTAAAGGTGCATCCGCTCGGCAAAAATCCTAGGTCCGCCACTACAAGTGTTTTCTCTCTCCCAGTGGACGTACCCTAATTGACGGTAGTGGAACCACACAAATCTTCTATCTTGTTACTTGCTTTACTACATTTGAATGTTATATGGTTATATTGCCTTGGATTTAGCTTTTGGGTTGTATATTATGTTGCTTGGATTTCCATTTGCTTGTTTGCTAGTTCCCTAGAATTTCCGTTTTTGTTGTTGGTTCACTTGCAGTGATCCCTGTTTTGTTTTGTCATGTCCAGTCCAGTGTCATAACCTTGAGTCTGTAATATTCTTTATGAGTTCACCTTTCTCTGTTTTAAAAGTTTGGTTTTGCTTTATCTCATGTCGATCTATTATATGTTTGTACTCCTTTCCCTCCCCTATTTGCAGTGCTTTGATTTTGATAACTATTTGGGCATGAACTCACGAAGACCATTGTGGCGTTGTCCCCATTGTAGTCAATCTGTCTGCTTCGTTGACATCCGAGTTGACCAGAACATGGTTAAGGCAAGTAACCTAGAAACCTTGAATTCATGTTTATCCATTCGTTTAATACCATCTCCAACCCGACACCAAATCCCATTTTGCACTATTTTTAACACCATTTTGCTTCAACACAACACCAAATATTACACCATTATTGGTGTTGGTGAATAGTGTAACTGTAAAACCAGATTTGGTGTTGAAGTATTTTAATTACAAAATGGTCCCTCGCATTTTTTTTCTTTCTAATTTAGTTTATTTTATTGTAATTAAATGATATTTTGGTTATAATATTTGATTATTAATTCTAAATTAATCATGTATGAAAAGATTATTTTTTATAATTTACAAAGTTATTTTAACAAAATGTTTTGGGTCGAATTTGTAAACAACCAATACAATATAAGGGCATGATAAAAAATCTATATAAATTAAGATGAAGGAATATACTTGGAATATTCTATTTAGTGTTAAAAAGGATGTTATGGGTTGGAGAGGAATTACTGTTTGCACCAAATTTTACGAAATGTTGTTGCAAGAAATGGTGCAAACGGTTGGATATGCTGAATTGCTCATACTCTTAAGCCACTGACTTATTCAAAGCAACTGATTCGTCCTTAGGTCCTGAAAGAAGTACTTCCTAATGTTTCTCATGTGTCAATCTCTGCTGATGGCTCGTGGGAAGTTGTTTCCGAGGGTGATGATCATTCGGATAAACCACAAGATAAGGCACCGTTACACCAAGAATCTACCATCTCAACGGGTGCCGATATTTTGGACCTTACAGAAGGTGATACCGATATGGATGCCAGTAATTCTCGTCACAATGATGACAGCAAACCTTCCCCTGCTCAGTTGCAAGCACAACTTATCAATTATCAAAATGGCAGTTATGTGAACATGAACAATACCAGCAATGAAAATGGGACGTACCCGACACCTGCCAGGCTCGTAACAAGAAATCCAATTGCTGTTCAGGCACTTCCGGTTCAGACTTCTGCAGGAATGGTTAGTGACGATAGAACGCGACAATCTTCTAGATTTCGTATGAATTCACGTCAAGTTTCGCGCATGATCTCAGCTCTACCATCACCTGACATGGGGTCACAGGTGCGATCGATATATTATCTTTGTAGTTAACACCAACAATTTTCAGATTCTTAACCTCTGATAGGAGTCCTTGGAAACGCAAGATAAGGGTAGCAGACTAGGGGTGGGGATCTGTGTTAGGCTAGAAGGGAGGAAGGGTTCTCGAGAGATAGAGGGTGGGGCTAGGGTTAGCAGCTTAATGAGACCCACAACTTATTCAGCGAACTATACATGACTCTTTAGTAGTGGCTCAATGATATAGAAAGTGGCTTATTCAGTAGGGGGAGCTTTATGCAGAAAGCAAAGTTTTTTTTTACCAAACCTGTCTTTCCCAATTAAAAAACATGCTCCTTCCATCTAAGAAAAATCTCTCCCAAACAAAAACCTTAACCAAACAGCCCCGTAATGACCTGGTAGTTAGGTCTCCGGAGTCCTAGGTTAGACTAGGGGTTTGTAGTTATTTCTGCATTGGCTATGTTTTCTTTTACGTGCTTCTGTTTTTATGTTTTGTTGTTGTTGTTTTTCTTTACTTCTATCTTGTTTCCAATTTTTAGCACCGCATTTCTTATTTTCAAGCTCTTTTTATGTTCTTTCCCCGCATTTTTTTAGCATGCTTTTTTCCTTTCTTTTCGCACAGTTTGCACTAGCCATGGGTCTTCACGGAAAAACAACTGTCCTACTCTGTAGGGTAGAGGTCAGGTCTACGTTCATCCCACCCCTCCCAGACCCCACCTCCTGGTGGGACATATGGGTTATGTTTAGTCTGGTTATTCCTTCTTCATACTGTAATCTTCTTGGACTTGCATGATTCTAACTGATTATTGTTTCGCTTGTTATTTTCTTACTATTCTCGTTAACCACAGCAAAAGTTATTGTTATTAAAGCTCAAATATTTTCAGTCTGCAATCCTCATTTTAACCTTTTTCTTTCCTTTTAAACTAATTTTCCTTGTAGAACTGGGTTCATCACGATCTTTCACACGTTTCAAGTCAACCAGTTCAGCAGTTTGGTCCTTGTTCAGGTCCACCATTAAGTGGTCACTGGTATCCTTCAGCTCTTCCGGCAGATCGATTCAACTCTCACCATAACCAACCATCAAACCAGAGGATACCAAATCCAATATGGTCACTTGCTCAGTTGCCTCCTCAAGTTTGCCACGGAGGTGTAGGTCCCACAAGCAACCAACAGTTCCCCCACTATGCCATGGACGCTGCTCAACAAGCGATCCAGATCAGGAGCATGACACCATCCGTTCAAGCTCCAGTCCAAACTTCTGTATCATCTGTGCCTGTGGCATCATCGGAAGTGCAAGGAGGTATGCATTTAGCATGCTTTTAATCACTCTAACAGAGCTAATCAAACCAAACCAAATAAACCCAGTATATCCCACTCGAAAGTAGGGTCTTGGAGGGGTAGGATGTATGCAGACCTTACTTCGACCACTAAGATCCTGAAGCTGTTCACTCTGACACAACTGCAGGCACCAATATATTGAATACAATAGGATGAGTGCAAACTGCAAAACAACTGGTTTACTCTTTGGGGTAGAGGAGAAGTCTATGTACATACCATATCCCCATCTCCGGGAGGATTATACGGGGTTCGTTTGTTTTTCGGTTAAGTGCAAACAAGCACTTGATAGACTAATAATAACATGGAAATCAAAGCAAAAATAATCCAAAATTCAAGTAATGACATGATCAACAAATTTTAAGGGGGTGTTTGGTAAGAGGTATTAAGCAATAATTAATGGAAATGAAAATAAAAAAACTGTTTGGTTTTATCTATACTATATTATAAAGCATTTGATGAAAACTCTTAAAAACCATTTTTTATGCATGAAGTACTGTTAATTAATGCATATTACTTAAAATTCAAGATTACAAGTAAATTATATATAAATACAACTTATTAAAGCTCCATTTTTAAATCCGTGTAACTAATTATAGATAAACATAATCAAATACAAGATAAACATCTCATTTTAAATATAAAAACTCTAAAATATAATTAGGATAATCACTGACTTGTAACAGAATACTTAATTATTGTATTTATAAAGAATTATATTATTAAATCAAAAAGAAATTACTTTATTATTGAACATAAATTAAATTATAACAAAAAATTGAATAAAAAAATTATGCTAAAAACGAGAATTTTTAAATAGTTTTGATACTAATATCGATATATTTTTGTTCAAAGTTACATGATATCTTCAAATTTATAACTTATTCAAAAATAAAAACATTATTGTTTCCTTAAAACCCCGTAAACCCATATTATATCGACATGGACAAAGAATAAAATAAAATATTAAAATCGAAATGTATCTCGTTACATTGTGCGAGTATCCTTCTAGTATAATATAATGGGTCCATTCCCCCCCGGAAGCCCAAATTTTCATTTTAGGTTAAACCGGAGGGAATGAAAATTAATTTCCTTTAATTCCATGTCATTTTCTTTTTTATTCCTCTACCTGAACCAAACACCCCCTTAAAAATTTAGAAAGTTTCAGATATCAACAAATGCGGAATGTTGGGGTGTACCAAAAAAATTTGGGTAGAGCCGGATCTAAGTGCCCTGTAGTAAGAGGAGTAGTTAGGAACCCAGTAGACCATCCACGACACTCAAATCTAACTTTCCCCAAGGATGTTGGAACACGACATGTACGCGGACCTTGTATCTGTGACATTGGGTTGACCTCACCCACTCCTGTACACATCTTAACGGCTTGTTGGTTGCCTACTTAACCTTCTTGTAGCGCTTGCTTAGTCTCAATGATGCCCCAACGTCCAATTAATGGTCTCTTTGCAAAATAATGATCAACTGTCGCTTGATTCGTGCTTTTAAGAGAGATGTTGTGTGTATGCAGTGTCTGTCAGAGTCCCACATTGGCTAGACTTGGAACTTCTTTTTTAACCCGAGTTCTGAAGATCTCTTTTGGAGAGTAATCTTCTAGGGTTCCACATATTTTCACATGGTTTCAGTGCCAATATCTACCCCTTTAGGGACTCTGACACTTTAGGAAAACTTGTACTTATCTAGCCCCCTCAGACAATTTATCCCCGTCTAGCCTTTATTGGAGAGCGTGTGTTAGAATCTACATCAGCAAGACTTGGACCTATTCTTCTTAATATATGTTGGAACCTCCCTCTCTTTCCTCGAGGGCTCTTTTGGATTATGCGGTTCCACATATTCTCACACAATATCAGCGCTAATGTCTACCACTTTAAGGACTCAACACTCTAGGAAAACTTGTACCCGTCTAGGCCCCTCTTGAAACCCTGGGACAATTTGTGCCCCCTTGCCTTCCGTTGGAGGAGGCGTGTTAGAATCCCACATTGGCTAGACTTGAACATGTTCTTCTCAATATGTTAGAACCTCCCTTCTCTCCTGAGGTTCAATATATTCTTAAGTCTTCAAGCAAATTTGACCAATTGATGATCTAATAGTGTAACTAGGTGCTGATTGGTTCTCTTTCCCTCTATCCTCTACCATAACTTAGTTTGAAATTTCGTGTTTTACGGAAACCTGGTCCAGGTGAAGCTCCAAGGGTGTTGGAGGGTTCCGCCGATGAAAACCAGCGACCAGCTCGACGTATGCGTGGAAGTTTATCGGGTCGGGATTATTCAGACGCACTTAATCGTCTCATAATTCATCCAACACAACCGGTCCAAGCTGCTAGACCGCCGGTTTTGAACGCCCCCAGACCTGCCTTACCGCCCCATCTGCAAGTTCTAATGGCAAATAACATAAATGCTCGCGGTTCTCAAGGCGGTGCAAATGGTTCGGTATTGGATAGTAGTAATGGCGACACCACTGCCGGAGTTTTGTTGCCTGAAAAGTAACGATCTCACCTGGGAGGAGGGATGTATAACATGGTCCATTTTGTACCTGGTAGCTGTGCAACTGCAGATTATGGTTCAATCTTTCTTTCTATTCCTAAAAATCATTCAAGTTATATAACACCGATATTCGAGTTAGCTCGTTTGAAAGCCCGAATAAGTTTTTCGAGTCAAACCGAGTCATTCGAGAATACATTTTTTTAGTCAAACATATTTATATCTTCATAAATTATGCAATGAGAACATAAACGTTATCGAGCTCGAGCAATAAATGATTTAATTGATCTCGAGTTCGAGCCAATAACGAACTTATAAAGTTTAAATTTTATGAATGTATTGCATATTTATTTGGAAATTACATGAATACTAGAGTAAATTACGATTTTGGCCTCTATGGTCTGTTAACAATTTTGATTTTCGTCCCTTAGGTTTAGAAATTGCAATTTTTTTTTCTATGATTTGCAATTTATTGCTATTTTTGTTCATGGCTAATTCCTACCTTAAGGTTCAAGGGACCAAAATAGTAAAAAATTGTAAACCATAAGGACCGAAAAATAAATAAATTGAAAATTATAGGGATGAAAATAGCAATGAATTACAAATTACAGAGACGAAAACCATAATATTTAAATCACATGAATGAAAATTGCATTTTAACAAACCACAAGTATGAAAAACGTAATTTAGGGGCCGTTTACTAAATATTTACTTGGGTAAGCGCTTATCAAGTTATATTACCTTACCAGATGAATATGATAAGGACCGAAAATCTTACCCGTTAAGAACGAGGCAAGGACCAATAGTCTTACCCGGTAAGTGAGGGCAATGACTCTTACTACAGTCATCTTTTACCGGGTAAATTGTTGTATAAAAAGTTGTTTTGTTGACTAAAATGTTACCCGGTAAGTAAATAATAGTATTGAATTTTCTTGATAAGTACTTACCGGATAAATGTTTGGTAAACGACCCCTTACTCTGGATATTACTCTTAAAATAAGTGATCACAATTTTTTTTTTGTCTCAAAATAAAGTTTCACTCTAAAAAAAATATAAATGTCTAATTTTCTATTATACCATAATCTTGATTATGAGATAATGAAAAATTCTCCATTTTTTTATTGAGGGTAAATGCGTCATTTAATTGATTAAAGTGTAATAATTACATATTTTCTAAAATTGTGTGATATTTTATTTATGAACATTTATACAGTGATCTCTAAGATGACTAGGGCTGTTACGGGGACGATTTTGGTTATCGGTTTCAGAGATAGTAGGCATGGCAACGGGACGGGGATGAGGCGGGTTTTGTAATCCTCGGCCCGGCCCCGGTTTTTAGTAATTTCCCCCAGTCTCGGTCCTTAGCGGGTACGAGGATTAACATCACGTCCTTGGTCAAACCCATGAAGGATATCTGCTAAATTGAGTATACCAGGGATCCCCGGCCCCCTGGCTCCGGTTTGAGTAACATCCCCCGACCCCGTTCGGGTCGGGTGAACCAAGTTCTCCTCGGGGCAAATCACCATCCTTAAGAGACGGGGATACCAATAACCAGCCTGAACTCGGGCCATTGCCATCCCCTAATCACCATTATGTTTAATCATTTTCATTCCTACTCGTAACGTATATTAATGATTGCCATTTGAGTCTTAGTGAAGGTTTGATGAAATTTGAAGTCTTTTTCATTAGATATCCGTGGAGCCGGCAAAATGGACGAGTTATAACAATTGAGTATCGGCTAAAACATGTAATTTCAGTATGTCAAAAGGGGGTTGGGTTCACTTAAGATTGACCCGTCAATATTTTTCTGTTTATTTTTAATTTTATAAATAATTAATGTATTAAATATGAAAACATACATTGTTAAAATAATAATCTAAATTTTTGGTTACGTGATGTTTGTATGTACGTTTTAAAAATAATTATATGTTATTCTCTCCGTTAAAAAATAAATGTCTACATTACTATTTTAGTTTATTCCAAAATAAATATTCGTTTTCAAAAGTACATGTCTATTTTCACATTTCACTCTTAATTATGAGATGTAGAAAATTTATCTCTTTATACTTAAAAGGCAAAAACGTTATTTTGTTAGTTAAAAAATGAAATATTTAATGTTCCTAAAACTGTGTACATTTTTCACTGTAGACATTTATTTTGGGATGAAGAGAATATTAAATAATTAAATCAGATAATCAAGTGTAACAAAACTGTTTTGAGGAGACAATTGGCAAGAATTGGAAAGGTTTAGAAAAGGTTATAGGAGCTGAGCTTGAACAAATTGCAACTCGACTCAGCTCGCCTCAACTCATTAACACGTCTAGCTAGACGCCACTGTTTTGCAGTTTTTGTATGCGCCGATCTAAAAAAGCTTGTAAAGGGTCTCAAATAGTTGAAATAATTTTGATGGGGGCAAAAACAGGTTGAACAAGATCGGAGGTAGAGATTGCTAAGCCAACACGATCTATTAAAAAAACGTACAGATACTTGACACATGTTACTATTTTTAATTGTGTGTAGTTTTAGATACAAAACTATAATGATATTAGTTTTTTACGTTTTCCGTAACCTTATAAATAAAAAACAGTAGTTGATAAAGATACATGAATGGCATACCATCGAGTTGCAAAACAATACAACCAGGTCTATGAGATTTTACCTTGGGATCTGGTTTGATACATTAAGGTGACGTTTGTTTTTTAAGAGGTGCTGAAGTCTGAAGTCTGAAGTTTGAATTCACTTCTGATTTTTAAGAGGTGGTGCTGAAATCTGAATCAATGAGACTGTTTGTTTTTTGCGTCTGAAATCTGAAGTTTGGAGATGAGAGATCGAGAGTTGATATGGATCGACAGTTAACAGAGTTGAGAGATGAGAGATCGAGACAGAAGAGTTGATCCAGAGAAATCGAGCGTAAAGAGATCAGAGTAGGTAGGCGACGATTTGAAATAAGAGGTAATAAGAGGTTTCTCAACCACTTAAATTTTCAGACTTAATAAGAGCTTTTAAGCTCTTAATTGAAAAAAAAAACAAACACACTGAATCCTCTTATGTCTGACCGATTCAGACTTAAGAGGACATTAAGAGCTTTTTTATTAAAAACAAACAGCCCCTAACTGTAAAATATAAGAAGTATAAGTTGTATGTAGTTGTCGCATACAACATAACGCAGTACAATGGGGATTCCATAGTTGATGCAAAGAAGTGAAAAAAGTGATCTTAGACCTTCATATGGTCAACATTTGAAGCTTTGACTGTGAAGTATCGATTAATTTCTCACATGAGTATGCGGAAGATGGAGGAGTAGTTTCGTAACTCTTACAAATAGACGGCCAACGGGTTCATATATGAACCACGTGATTCACATATAAATTATATGTTAATATGTAAACCCGTTTATTTCGTTCACATGTGAACTTTTTAACTAATTCAGATATGAACCTTAACATGTGACTCACACAAGTTCATATGTGAATCAATTAAAGTAGTTCATATGTGAATTACATGGGTTCACACATGAACATATAATTCATATGTGAATCACATATGTTCACATATAAATCCGTTTGCCACCTATTTGTAAAAGTTACGAAACCACTCTTCTATTTTTTGTGTAACCACAATTTTTAACCAGTCAAAGCTACATTTATGGACTAATCAAATTCGATCTTGACTGTATGAAGGCTAGAATCACTTTTTTACTTCTCAGATATTTACAACTTCTCAAAATAATATTTGACCATATATATATATATATACATACACACACATAGAGGTTAATTTGAGAAGTAATGAAGTGATCCTAGCCCTTCATCTGGTTAACATTTGCGACTTTGACTGTGAAACATCGATAATTCATCGAATGGGTATGCGGAAGATAGAGGAATAGTTCTGTAACTTTTTACAAGTAGGTGGCAAACAGGTTTATATGTGAATCAGTGTGATTCACATATGAATGTATTTCATACGTGAACTAGTTAATTGGTTTACATGTGAATCACACGAGTTCATATGTGAATCAATTAATTAGTTCATAAGTGAATTACATAAGTAGTTCATAAAGTGAATCACACGGATTCACATATGAACCCGTTTGCCGTCTATTTGTAAAAGTTACGAAACCATCCCTCATATTTTTTAAATATCCACAAATTTTAATCAATCAAATCTAATCTTTACCGTATAAAAGATAATTTCATTCTGCATTCATTTTATCCTCAACCTTGCTTCCAAATTAAACAAAAACTCATATGCTTGATTTGGTTTTATTTTATACAAATGAAAATAAAGATAAAGCAAAAAACCAAACATATTTATTGTAAATAAACATGTCATTTATATTACAAACTCTAATGCTTTGATTGAATTTAAACCAAAAAAATCTTAGGTTTGATTTTGTTTCTTATAATATAATGAATAGCTACAATTAACCACATGGGTGGTGCCTGATTAGTTTGAGTTTGGCTCCAAAGGTGAAAAATACCAGGAGGTGCCATGTTCAAATCCAAGAAGAAATAAAAATTCACTTGTGGCTACAGAGGTTCAAATGTGGTGACTCTGGCCTATCTGCAAAGCAGATGGTCGCCCTGGGATTAGTCGGCTCGAATAACGGGTTAGATATCCAGGCTAATCAAAAAAAAAAAATAGCTACAATTTGGCATACACTTTAATAATTACATAAATAATCACTATAACACTACTAGAAAACTGAGTATTTTTGATGGAAAAATCCGCAAAAAAAAATTACTGGCGGACAACAAAAAAATCAACTTCCACCGGAAATCCGCGGATAGGGCTGCCGGAAAAGTTGACCAGTTTGGTAGTGTAATTTATATTTTGCTTTGAATAATATATCTTTTGTTAACTCCGTTAAAAATTATGTGTTAAATAAGGGGTACTTTCGTCTTTTTATATATTTTTTTATTTTGCAAACCAAAATGTATATTATCATTAATTTTTATTTTATTTGTATTGGGGTAGGGTCGGTAAAACACAACAAGCAAAAGAAAAAAAGACAAAATGATTCATATTTAACAGAAAATTTTTGACGGAGTTAAATTTGAGGGATCATTTTTAAATAAATATAAATTGTAGCAACCAGTTTTATATTTATTAAAGCACGGGGTCTGAATTTGTAGTTTTATATAAATCATAGGGACCAAAATTGTAGTTTACTCTAATATAATTGAGTAGATTTGAAGGCAAACGAAAACATTTCAAGCAATTTTCCGGTGCTCCGTTACCTCTTTGATTCACATTCTGTATGATTCGTGGCGATAGGTCTGAAGAAGTTGTTCTCCGATGAAGTGCCGATCTGTTGCTTGTATATGGTCAGAGTCTCCGCCGGTTCATAAAGTCACCGCCACCGCCGTACTTGACCGGCCTTCGACTCTCTACACCGGCGGATCCGATGGCACCATCTTCTGGTGGAATTTATCGTCAACTAACTCCGATCACGTAAGTTGAAACTTGAAGATCACTCAACCTTATACATATTGAAATTGGAATATGAATTGCAATTAGGTTTCGTTTAGTGTAGTGTTTTTCACTGATTTTGTGTACCGTTTATGTGATGATCACTTTACAACTGTTATTTTAGAATTACTCACTATTAGAATTTGAAAAATCAAATTTAGCCATACAAAGTTAACATTGATGTTCTTAACTTTTCATTGCCAACATGTTTTGCTACTGTAATCATTTATTTTAGTTTGATGTTGTCATCAGAATTAGAGTTATGAACAGATTATTTAACAAAATTTTGAAGATAACATCTCCCAGTTTTGATGCCCCATAAGTCAATTAAGGACTCTAACCATGGGACAATAGGGAGTATTCTAACAACAAGCTTCTTTTCCCAAACTACTTGGGCATGCTAAAGTGAAATCTAATAGAAAATTAGAAATCATGAAGAGGTGAATCCCGAGAGTGTGGAGCATGACTAGCATCTTTTTGACACATTAAAATCTACCATTCACTCCTTTATGCAGAAGTTTAAGTTATTGGTTTTCAGAATTCGTGTGTGAGGGGGAGAGGATGATCACATGTTTCATTTGTGTGGGAACATTGATGAATTCTTGATCAACGTCGCATATTGGGGCACTCAAGTCATGGCTTCATTGAAATTGTTTTAAGTTGGAATCTAAAGTCACATTTTGCCTTGTGTGGCAAAGTAGTTGCTCAATTATGGAATTAATATTAATGGGTTTGGGTTGCAACTATTGTTCATATTCTGGAGGTGTTAAGGGTCTACGGAGAGTATTCTATTAAATTTCCATATGTTCAGATTGATACGAACTAATTGCAGGTATTGTAATGTGGGGATTCTACCACTACATTCCTAGCTCTACCACTCTGAAAGAATGCAGTCTATCTTCACCACCTTTTGCTTCTCTTCTTTGAACCAAATATTACCATGCCATAAACAGTCAGATTGCCAGGATTTTGTATATTGCTCCTGTTGTGCACTTAGTGAGAAACTGTACTCCAAAATGGTTGCAAGTTATGTTATCTGTTCTCATTTTGCTTAGAGAATATAGGACACCTACTTGAAGTTTCATTTTCTTTCTTGTGCATAAGTTGCAATTGCAACATCTTTGTCATCAGAAGTCTTCTGTTTTCCTAATTTACAAAACAGGCATTCGCTTTGTCATGTTGATAAGTATTTTTATTGTCAGGACATAAAACCGGTTGCTATGTTGTGTGGTCACACTGCACCAATATCTGACATGGGTATCTGTTTCCCTGCGTCGACTCTAGGAGATGAGAAAACAACCGATTCAAGTAATGTGGCACCAAACTCTAGTTCAGTTAACTATGGTTCTCTAATAAGTGCGTGTACTGATGGTGTATTGTCCATTTGGGGCAGAGACAGTGGACATTGCAGCCGCAGAAGGAAAATGCCAGCTTGGGTGGGGAGTCCATACATGGTTCAGCCATTACCTGAAAATAGGAGATATGTTTGTGTCGCCTGTCGTTTCATTGATCCTCTTAATTCATTAGACCACCAATCGCTAGATTCCACTGATGCTGGTGAGCCTTCGACGAATAGAGAACCACAGGACAAGAAACCTTCAAAATGCACAGTTGTAATAATTGATTCGTATACATTAACCATAGTGCAAACTGTGTTTCGTGGTACTTCATCTGTTGGGCCTTTCAAGTTCATGTCCATAGTGACACCCATTAGCGATATGGAGAGGCAATCGGTGTTGATGGCTGACTCATTTGGTAATGTGCAATGTGTGTCACTACTTAAAGACACTGATCGGAGTGAAGATATTTTAGATGACCTGCAAAAGAATTCTTCTCACCTCGAAATGTCCGACTGGCTTCAAGAATCCGGTGAAGGGGAACTTCCAATTTCCTTTGCTGCTTCTGGGCAGGTTTTAGCGATTCTTTTTAGGACGTATTGCGTATTTAAGCTGGTGGATGGTAGTGCTAAGGTTGGAGAGATTTCCCTTTTAGACGATCAACTTTGTCTTGAAGAGGGTAGTCTTAGTCAATATGATGTTACGGGATGCCTGTTTCTTGGGAATGCTTATGGTAGGATGGTGCCACTTGCTGAGGAAGACCTGAACATATTTATAGAAACTTTTGCTGTGTGGAACAACAAAGGTCATGTAATTATGTATACCATATCATATTCAGGAAAAACTTTCAAATATGTGCCACTATGTGTAGTCCCGTCTGTTTCACATCCTCCTAATGTTGAATTATCTTTTTCTTTTGTTCTAATAAATCGAAATCTTGTTCGTATTGAATCAACTTGCCTCCACACCGAAGAACTAGTGCATTGGAAACCCTTGATAACAATATGGGCATTGCCTGGAAACAGTGAAAAGTTTCATCAAGAATGCAAATTGGTCGGGAAAGGAAGCTATTTTGATGAGTGGTTTGTGGATCCTGATTCTCCCATCAAGCATGAGGACAAAAGGGATGTCGCAAAGAATGTGATTGGTATGGATACAAGTGAAGGAAAACAAGGCCATTTTAGTAGAGAATTCTTGGTCACTTCTTCAATGGTTATTTCAGAAAATGACTCCTCCCCGTATGCAATAGTTTATGGGTATGACAGTGGAGAAATAGAAGTTCTGCGGTTCAATATTTTCTCTGAAAAAGTGGATGCTTATTGTGGAAGTCCACGTCAAGAGGTAGATTCATGTGCATGGAAGCAATATCTTTCAGGCCACACAGGTGCCATTCTATGTCTGGCTGCACACCAGATGGTGAGTACTTCCAGAGGATTCAACAGCAACATTTCTTTAATCTCTGGTAGTATGGATTGTACAATACGTATATGGGATCTTAACTCCAGCAATCTCGTTACAGTGATGCACCAGCATGTACAACCGGTGCGCCAAATAATTCTACCCCCGCCCCACACTGACCGTCCATGGAGTGATTGCTTTTTATCTGTTGGAGAGGACTCATGTGTTTCTTTAGCTTCACTCGAGACTCTGCGGGTGGAGAGAATGTTTCCAGGACACCCATATGTACCTTCAAAAGTAGTATGGGATAGTACACGAGGCTATCTGGCATGCTTCTCCCTGAATCATTCAGCAACATCTGATGCATCTGATGTATTGTACATTTGGGATATAAAGTCAGGTGCTCGTGAGCGAGTTCTTCGTGGTAGTGCTGCTCATTCGATGTTCGACCATTTCTGTATGAGCGGGAATAAGAATTACCTTTCTGTAAGTTCCATGGAGAGGAACACTTCTACTTCCTCATTGCTTCTGCCAGTAATTGAAGATATACAAGTTTCACAGTGTCATCCAAATAATCCAGAGAAAGACATTGCTTTATCAGATTTCTCTCATGCCTCTACAAGGATGACTCAACAAGGTCCCTACGCAAACAACACACATCCAATTACATGCTCTTGCCCTTTCCCCGGGATTGCAACACTGACTTTTGATATGACATTATTGATGTCCATTAGAGCTGCATCGTTTGAAAAGCAAAGTGATGCTGAGGCTCAGACCCCCAGAAAACGCTTGGACAGAATCAGTAGCCTTCTGAAAGAACAGGAAGTCGAAGTGCCCAGACCCTACCAGGTGAGTACAAATGGTGCAGATGCTTTACAAGAAACCCCAGCGGATGCTATAGAATACGCTGATTGGGCTCATTCATTAGAAGGATGTCTATTTCGGTTCAGCTTGTCGGTTTTGCACTTGTGGAATGTCGATTATGAGCTTGACAAACTATTAGTTTCTGAGATGAAGCTCAAGAAACCTAAGAATTTCTTTGTAGCTTCAGGTTTGCTTGGGGACAGAGGGTCTCTCACGTTGACGTTTCCTGGTCCAAGGGCAACCCTAGAGGTACCATATATTTCTGTTTACATTACTATGTTAATTTCGTTGTTGACATCTAATACATTAATTTTAATGTTTCAGCTCTGGAGATCATCATCAGAGTTCTGTGCAATCAGGTCCTTAACTATGGTATCCCTTGCTCAACACATGATTAGCTTGTCTCATTCGTGTTCCACAGCAAGCAGGTAAAGCAACATTTTGTAATTAAAGTCTTGCACCAGGTCAGAGCTGAAGCATGAAATCGAAAAAAATATAAATGTATTCATCAACTAGCTTGAAATTTCCGAGTAAGCAAGATTGTGAATTTGCATTTTGTCTTCTTGCTTGACAAATCCAACTTACTTGATTAAAACCCTTCTTGGACATGCATACAGTCGTCATGTGTTCTTATGTTCACACACACAGACATATCAGAAACAGTTTCGATGGAGTGGTTGTGTGATGATGCATTTCATTTGGTTAATTAGTTGCAGATAGTTGTTGATTCAGTGATGGTAGTTGAATTTGCAGATGATACTTTAGTTGTGGTACAGTGGTGGTGACGGTTGGATTTAGGTGGTGAATTTCGAGGCAGTGATAAGATATGGTGGTGGTGGTTGATTTGATCATTCGAAGGCTGGTTATAGTTTTTTACTTGGTAGGTCACATCTGTATAGGAAAATGACAAATTAAGAAGAGAGAATAATTTTCTTAGGATCTTCTTAATCTTATTAATTGGACTGGGAGTTAGTTTGTGCATTTGGCAAGACATGAGAGGTGGTGTGCAACTTTGTGAAGTAGTACTCCTGGCACTAATCATTGACATTTATCTTGCTAATCATTCATATTTGTCTTGCCTGGAGTAGGATACAATCCTTGTGATTCACATTTCTCACCCATCATTTGCATTTATCTTGATAATCATTCATATTTATCTTGCCTGAAGTAGACTACAATCCGTGTGATTCACATTTATCTGTGAGCTATTGAATTTTTGCTTCTTTTGGGACTGTTCTAGTGTTATAAAGCATGTATGTGATCGGTCATTCTACTGCACACACATGGATTCTAAAGAATACCACCTTGATATGTGTTCTTGCAGTTCACCGTAAATTTGATACCAACTGCAAAATATTCATCAGCTACTCCCACGGGTGTTTCTGTTTTGCAGTGCTTTAGCAGCATTTTACACACGAAAGTTCGCAGAGAAATTTCCTGACATTAAGCCACCTTTGCTCCAGGTAACTTCTTGTGCAACTAAAAATTTGGTGTAACCATAAATGTTGGTTCTGTTTGCTCAATGTCTTCCTTGAACGCTTTTGGTTCATGTTTACATGCAAACTTGAATGAAGATAGGCTAGCAAGAGCGGCTATGTAGAACAAATGTCTGACTATGCAAAGAATTAGTTAATCCTTGAAGGGCGTATAGCACAAACCCTTGAATGTTAATTGCTAACCTACAGAGAACTATGCTAACATTAGTTCGACCAAGTCAAACACCTCCTTCGTGCACATTAATGAAATATTAGCCTAAAATAACTTGAGAAACTACACCATCCTTAACTAACCCATTGGTCTAGTACCGCGGAGTTGGATGTTATATATTTTAGAGTAAATTACATTTTTAGTCCCTGTGGTTTGTTAAAAATTTGTTTTTCGTCCCTGTGGTTGAGAAATTGCCGTTTTCGTCCCTGTGGTTGAGAAATTGCAGTTTTCATCTCTGTGGTTGAGAAATTGCAGTTTTCGTCCTTATGGTTTGTAATTCATTGCTATTTTCGTCTTTATGATTTGCAATTTATTGTGGTTTCAGTCCCTGTGGTTTACAATTCTTTACTGTTTTGGTCAGTTGTACTTAAAGGTAGGAATTTAGTCCAGGGACGAAAATAGCAATAATTGCAACCAAAGGGACTAAAAGTGCAATTTAATAAACCCCAGGGATGAAAATGAAAATTATTGACAAACCACAGGGATGAAAATCGTAATATACTCTATATTTTATCATAATACGAAGGTCTCATCTATCTGAAGATCTGCATGCTATCTTGGTGCATTCATATGTTAGTATGATACTAATAATTTCCTAAATTTTCAGTTCTGGAATTGAACTCTGAAGGTCTCATATTACAAGTCTTTTTCCACAAATTCAGAAAACAGTTATTTATATCTATAATGCAGTTTCTTTTCATTTTCTTTCCGGTTTTTCTTTTTTCTATTCCTTCTTAATATCTGAATCAAAATGATCCTCATCTACAGACATTGGTGAAATTCGTGATACATTTCCAATATTTTAGCAGTAGTGCTTGCATTTATTTCTGATTCTTTCTCTTTCTGATGCACAGCTTTTGATTAGCTTTTGGCAAGACAAGAGTGAACATGTGCGAATGGCTGCACGTTCGTTGTTCCACTGTGCTGTTTCAAGGGCCATTCCTCGTCCCCTCCGTAACGAGAAGTCCTATGACGATGAATCAAAGGGAAGCACAGAAAATAGATCAATAAATTCAAGCATGGCGGAGAATCTCCAAGAAAGTGTGACATCTGAATGGCAGGCAGAAACAGTAAGAACGTCTGAAATGCTAGCATGGCTAGAATCATTTGAGCGTCAAGACTGGATATCTTGCGTAGGGGGAACAAGTCAAGACGCAATGACTTCTCATATTGTTGTTGCTGCTGCTTTAGTTGTTTGGTACCCAAGTCTCGTTAAGCCCGGTCTTGCCATGCTATGCATACATTCACTTGTGAAGTTAGTTATGGCCATGAATGAAAAGTATAGTTCCACTGCAGCTGAGATTCTGGCAGAAGGTATGGAGAGCACTTGGGCTGTGTGCATAAATTTGGAAATACCTCGTTTAATAGCGGATATATTCCTGCAAATTGAGCATGTGAATGGAGCATCTGCCAAGCCAACACCACATGGTTCATCTACTTTTGAGATTCGGGAGTCTTTGGTTGCAATTCTTCTACCCAGTTTAGCAATGGCTGACGTGCCGGCTTTTTTACATGTGATAGAAAGACAAATATGGTCTACTGCATCTGATTCACCTGTTCATATTGTGTCCCTCATGACCCTCATCAGAGTAACTCGTGGTTCTCCTAGAAATTTGGCTCCTTACCTTGATAAGGTTTGTAACTTTTTTCTTTCATACTGTAAACTTTTCCTCCGTCCCAAAATAAGTGTCCATAAATTGACAGAAATAGCCAATCAGCAAATAGGGTTTCACTTTTTAGCCATTTTCTGACCCAAATAATTCACTTTTTAGCCAATCTGTACGCGTATGCTTTGACATAAATAGCCAATCAGCAAATAGGGTTTCACCTTATAGCCATTTTCTGACCCAAATTCACTTTTTAGCTAATCCTTATGCAGAAGGCATACGACTATGCGTAAGGATTGGCTAAAAGTGAATTTGGGTCAGAAAATGGCTAAAAAGTGAAACTACCTATTCGCTTTGGCTATTTATGTAAATTTTCCCAATTTCTATTTTAGTTTGGCCCGATGTAAGTGTCCACTTTCAAAGTAAGTGCCTACTTTCCAATTCTACCTTCAACTATGAGATGGAGAAATTCATTACTCCTATTATTAAGGTTAAAATTGTCATTTTTGAGCAAAAGGTTGAATACTGGCAACCCCAGCCGGTTGCACCCAGCCCCCAAGGAATCCAGTGTGAGTGGGCTATCTAAGACTCATCAGGCGGCAAGGCACATGAGAGGGCCCGGACTCGAACCAAAGACCAATGGCTTTTTGAGCAAACATCTTATCCCTTGAGCCAACCGTGCTACATGCCATGGGCGGGTAAAATTGTCATTTAGTTAGTTAAAAAGTGCAATAATTACATATTTCTAAAATTGCGTGCCTTTCTCGTTGTGCACATTTATTTTGGGAGGGAGGGAGTATTTTCCAGTTGGATAAATGATTTAAATGGCATATCAACACTCCATGGTTCATGTCATTATCCATCTTTTTGTCATAATGTGTTTTAAACTTTCCTCTGCAATTTTAGGAAGCTCTATGACATTCCTTCACCTTTATGGTATATTTTAATTTCAGCTATCATATCTTTAACAATTAGCCAGGTTGCAGGTGGTCAATTTTATTTTACAGACAATGGACCCTGGCAACTTGGCCATGCGCAGAAGTTGCTTACAAAGTTCAATGGCGACATTGAAGGAAGTTGTGCGTGTTTTCCCCATGGTAGCCTTGAATGACTCATCTACTCGATTGGCTGTTGGTGATGCAATAGGAGATATAAACAAAGCTATCATCCGTGTATATGAAATGCAAAGGTAATCCATGAAGCTTTCATACACACACACATATATATTTATATACGTACATACATACATATGAGAAGTTATGATGAGAAGCGTAAGAAGAGATTTTAATCCTTGATCACTTTTAATCTCATGCCCACCCATGAATTGCGCTTTAGAAGGGAATTGATCCGACGCATCTTGGTGCACCTTATTAGGGTTGACATTCAATTAGGATTGATCCAAGAGACCAAGAGTGGAGATCTGTTCTTAAGCTTCTCACCATAACCCAACCGTACACATACATATGCATATACATATATGGCGAAGGATCGTGTGAGATGGAGGGTTAAGGTGAGAAGCGTAAGAAATGATCTGGACCTTTGATCACCTTTAATCTCAAACCCACCCATGAATCTGTTTGGTATGGGGTTTGATCTGGTGCATCCAAGGGTGGAGACCCCTTCTTACGCTACTCACCTTAGCTCTTCTTCTCACAGGAATCCAACCCATACATATACGTATACGTGTACGTGTACATGTACATATAGAGGGAAAATTCAGTTGCGAACATGTTTTCCATTGTGAACTGGGGAATAAAGGAGAATGCAACATGTACATGTACATATACATATAGAGGAAAGTTTAGTTGCAAACACATTTTCCATTGTGAACTGGGGGATAAATGAGAACGCAACACGTGTCCCCATTTGTTCTCATTCATCATGAATAATGAACATGAATTTGTTACACCATGCTGGATGAATGATACACCATTCATGATGAATGATCTTAAGTTTGCAATTGAACCTGTCCTTACATATATATATATATATATATAATATATATACATACATACATATATAATCTTTTACAGGCGTAATCATAGAATTCCATTCCAACAGCAAGCACCTAACATGCGCATTTCTATATATTCATTGTGTAGATGACCTTTATTTCTACTTTCTTATTTAAATGTAGTATGACAAAGATAAAGATCTTGGATGCTAGTGGACCTCCTGGACTTCCAACCTTGCTTGGAGGAGCCTCTGAAATGACTGTAAAAACTGCAATTTCAGCCTTAAGCTTTTCACCTGATGGAGAGGTAACTTTTTATCCTTAATGATAGAGACAAAACCTTTTCTCTCTCTCTCTCCTGGATCAACTATTAAATATTTGTGCATCATAATTAAGGGTAGTTGGAAATTTAGTAAATTAGTTTGGTTGGTTTTCCATTAAGTCCTGTATGGATAAAGTTGTTTGTGTGGAACTGTGGATTAATCTCTCTGTATAGATTAGGAAGGTTTTTGTTTAGGAGGGTTTTTCATAGATAGAAATGAGCATGTTTTTTTATTGGGAATGGTAGGTTTGGAAAAAGCGTGTCTTTCTGCATAAAGCTCCCTCTAGAAGCTTACTGAATAAGCCAGTTTCTACTTTCTACATCATTGAGCCACTACCAAATAGTCATGCATGGCTAACCAAATAAGTTGCGAGTCCCATTAAGCTCATTAAGCTGCTAGCTAACGAACAGGCCCTTATTTCGGGCCAAACTTAAATAAAAATGTAGATACTTATTTTGGGACGGAGGGAATATGTCACAAACTTCTACTTCATGTGCTATCTGTGATTTTGCGTAATGTGCTACATCTTTTCAGTTGTATAATATTTGTAATTGGCAGGGTTTGGTAGCTTTCTCTGAGCACGGTTTAATGATCCGATGGTGGTCTCTTGGATCCATGTGGTGGGAGAAGCTTAGTCGGAATCTTGTTCCCGTTCAGTGCACGAAATTGATTTTTGTTCCTCCGTGGGAGGGGTTCTCTCCTACTTCCACAAGGTCGAGCGTGATGGCAAGTGTAATGGGTAATGGGAAGCAGGTTAATTCACAGGTAAATCTTTAATACCAGCTAGGGTATTTTGTTTTTAAATGGTGCTTTTGGTAGGGTTGGGTTCTGGTGAGAATGAAAGTTATGGTGAGAAAGGTAAGAAGGGATCTCCACCCTTGGATCAATCCTAATTGAAGAGAATCACTAGATCAACACTAATGAGGTACACTGGATCAATTCCCTTCTAAAGCGAGTTTCATGGGTTGTTTTTGGGATTAAAAGTGATCAAAGGCCCAAATCCCTTTTTACACTTCTCATCTCAACTCCTATTCTCACACGATCCTTTGTCGTTTGTGGTATTTGTCTGTACAAAAATTTCTTGTCTGACGTTTGGCGTAACATCAGACTGGGTCAGGACTTGAAAAAGACCAAACTAACCCAGAAAATAAGCGAACAAAAATAGGTGTATATGTAAACTACTATTAGATGTGAGAAAAGAGCAAGGTTACGTTGTAGAACATGACTTGTTTGGTTGGATCATGTAATGTGTAAATTCTCTCTGCCCCTACTGTTTGGTAGTTTCCACTGCCTGTCCATTGTTTAAATTGGCATTTTTGTTTATCTCCTATTTTGCAAAAAAGGAAATTCAGGTAAGTTTCTTTATTTGGTGTACCTACTTGAGCCGGATGAAAGGAAACTTTCATGGAGATCCTAAATTTATGTAGATGGACTTGGTCATTTATGTACTTTGAATGGGAAGAGACCATGTAAATACATAAACAAGATCTTTTGGCTCTCTGAGTTTTATGGTAAGAAATAGATTTGTAATCATTCAATATATATTTATGCTAATAAAATAAATATATTGTTATTTTTTGTGTGACAGATGATGAGAGTGATGAATCAGAAGATGAGGTCTATATAATACTTCTTTTGGTTTGAAACAAAGTTGAACTTTATTAGTGAAATTGATACCAAGTATTTTTGCCGTATATTATTTTCTTATTTTTGTTTATGACAATTCATAAGCTAAGCCTTCTATGTTCACAGGGAGTTCTTTTATATGTTGTAGATATATATTTGGTGCGGTTGTAATGTTAATCTTTTGTAATTGGTTTTAATGTTCGTCTTTTGCAATCTTATGTTAAAGGACCATCTGAGCAAACCAATTAACATAAGGCTGCAAAAGACTAACATTAAAACCAATTACAAAAGATTAACATTGAAACCGCACCAAACATGTGTCTACAACAAATATAAAGAAAAACTCTTTGTGAACATAGATGTCTTAGCACATGAATTGTCATAAACGAAAATAAGAAAATACTATATGTCCAAAATACTTGGCATCAATTTCACTAAAGTACAACTCTGTTTCAAACCAAAAAAAAGTATTGTATAGCCTTCATCTTCTGATTCATCACTCTCATCATTTGTAACACAAAAAATAACTGTATATAAATACTGAATGATTACAAATCTCTTTTCTTAGCATAAAATTCAGAGAGCCAAAAGATCTTGTTTGTGTATTTACATGGTCTCTTCCCATTCAAAGTGCATGAATGACCAAGTATATCTACATAAATTTAAATGGTTACATATACACATTACATGATCGAGTCAAACATGTCATGTTCTGCACGTAACCTTGCTCTTTTCTCTTTGCTCTTTTTTTGTCCCACCAAAATAGGTGGAACAAAAAGCAGCGAGATGGGACAATACTGGTAAATTACTAAACTACCAATGTCAAATTAAAATCAAAATTATTTTACCTGTCTACCTCACTCTCGTACGTTCACTCCCATTGGCATGCCACGCACCTAAAGGGTGCATCACACACCTCACCTCTCGGTCCCAAAAGGTTGTACGCATTGACGTTTGAGGTCCAATATAGTGCCAAAGTTTAATCTTTTGTTAGAGGTTTAAGACCAACTATTTCTATTTGTAATGGATTTTTTTTCTTGATGTAAGAGTTGTCACTTTTGAACTAGAAATGAAAAATAAATCCCCCGACCTCAAAATAATTAATATAATATAAAATAAAACAAAACAAAAATTAATTATGAAAAAGAAGTACGGTTTAATTAAAAATGATATGTATGTGGTTTTTTCTTTTTGCATTCACCAATTTTTTGTAAAAAAGAGACAGATTCAAACTTGCAACTTGTAATGACATTACCAGTAGGCTACAACCGTGTTTTGTTAAAGCATCTTTAAGGCCTCTAATTTTTTGTGCAAGTACTAGTTAAATGTCTAAATTGCCCTTCAGTATTAACAAAAACGAGAAATCTTGTTGACCAAAATCGATGATACTGATATTTTGGGATGGAATGAATAGTTTTTCTAGTGTATTGATATTTTCCGTTCATTTGGCAGGATAATTCAGGGGAGTTGAGCGAAATGGACAGATTGAAAGTCTTGCTCCATAATCTTGATCTGTCGTACAGGTTAGAATGGGGTGGTGGAAGGAAAGTATTACTCAAGAGACACGGCCAGGAGCTCGGAACTTTCCAATTATAACCCTGAACATTTTAATGTAAATAGACAATTTCGCCCTTGAGTCTTCTGCATTTGGTTAATCTCTTCGTAATCTTGATCCCTTGCTTCATAATCTTGATCACAGACTTGAATGAGGGCAATGGAAGGAAATTATGGTTACTCAGGAGACATGGCCAGCAAGGAGCTGGGACAACTTTCCAATTACCTTGTATGCAACTCTAATGTAAATGGACAACTTTGCCCCTGGCTCCCGTGGGTCTGCATTTGGTTAATCTCTTTCGAATCTCTTAGATCTCATGTCAATATTGGTCGGTTGCATTAGTTTTGTTAAACAGGAGATACATGTTTTAGGCAAAACCAGCCTTCGGGATCATGCTGCTGACCGGCTAGGGGTATTTCAGGTATTTGCTATATTTACCACATCTTTAGTGCTTATAAATGATTCATTGATTGCCTAGTTTTGCTGCTTATGGGATTTTTGAAGTTATAAATATACCCTTGAGGAGTTTTGGAGTTATGAAATGTCAAATATACCCTTCTGCTTCACTTGCATATGTTTAATGCTTTTGTGTTTGGAGAGCCTTTGGATTTGTTTCTTCACATTGCATGTTTGATTTCTTCAGCATAAAACTATTTCACTCCATTATTCGGTTATTTAAATCATATAATGAAATTTGTCTTGATTCTTATTTAACGTAATAATTAATTTTTTCCCAATTACAAACTCTTCATATTTCGTATGTATTTTACCTGATAAACGAGTTTTCAGCCAATGTAGCATGCTTTATCAGTAGAATTGACCTGCGGCACCTATAATGTTTCCTCGTGCAACTAATAAACATGTTTTTATCAGTGGCACTGAGTGACGGTTCTTGCTCAGTGTATATGTTACATCCTCAGCTAACTACATTCATGAATATGAGTTTCACGATGTATGTGATATCTTATTTTTTCGAATGTTTCCTTCCGATAGATGAAAAATCACGAAATCGGTTCATCACAAATCTTGCTCTCATATTGCTCATTTGTACAAAGGGCCCTTATGAGCAGTAAAAGAGAACAAAATAATTATCACAACAGAATCACATAATGAAGAAACAGAGCGATTAATGTAGACGTGATCACCGTTGGTTTTCGATTATCACAACATTATCACAACAAAAATCACGTAATTAATAGATGATTATCAATCAAAATCACGTCATAAAAAATCTTCAACTTATCAAATCATTATCACATTATTATCACGGCAAAATCAGATAATTATCACAGTATTATGCATAATAAAAATCCACATCTTTTTTAATGGAAATTTTTCACATCTTATTGTATTGCACTAATACACAACTATGGATGAAATGCACCATACCACATCGTATGTGTACAACTAGAGTCGAAATGTATTATGTGATATTTTATATCTCCAATAGGTTCTTTAAAATGGAGGAGATTTTAGGGAAAAAAAATTGTTTCAATCGATTTCTCAAAAATGGAAAAAAGTAGAAGAAAAAAGTGAAATTTTTTGAATTTGAAAAATTTCCCAAAAGTATTATCATATAATATAAATAATATTTTATTATATTTTCAATCAATAAAAATCTTGTAATTAAATGTTTAGAAAAAAAAAATGATATTTTATTGAATGAGAATCTTTTAAAAGTAAATATTATTTTATTTTTGAAGATTTAATTTCTATTTTAAAATTTTTTTGAAGCATTGCGTTAAATTTATTTGTCTATTTTTTTTATTAACTTGGATATCCAACTCGTTATGTGAACCGACTAATCCTAGACGACCATCTGCTTTGTAGATAGTCTGGAGTCACCGTATTTGAATCTCCGTGGTCACAAGGGGATTTTTATTCCTCATTGGATTTGAACCTGAGACATCCTGATACTTTTGATCTTTGGAGTCAAACTCAAATCAATCAGGCACCACCCTTGGGGTTTTATTTGTCTATTTTTTATTATCATGACTATAACTTTTATAGATTTATATATGTAAAAGTGATTAAATATATAAAAATCTTTGAAGTAACTTAAAAATAAAGATAAATTTGATAATACGAGTAGATGAATATAATTAAAGATAGATAAATGTAATTAAAAATACTGAAAATAGTTAAAAGAAAAATTAAGTTAGATTATGTGGCGTTTGATTTTTAAGGGGTGCTCTGAATTATTATTTCACTTCTGATTTATAAGAGTTGTTGTTGAAGTCTGAAATCTGAATCAATAAGACTGTTTGTTTTTACGTTTGAAGTCTGAAATCTGAATCAGTCAGACTAGTAAGGATCGAATAAGAGAAATGATTGATTAAGGTTAATCGATTGAGAAATATCGTTGTTGAAGATTTGAAAAACAATAAGAGATTGCTTTATCATTTATCAAATAAAAGGAAAATAAGACAAAAATACCTCTAAAAAATTAAAAAAAACAAATAATCTGAATAATCTTGAGTGTTGACCAATCAGACATAAAAAATAAATGGACTGATAAAAGTTTTTTTCATTTAAGAGTTGATAAAAAAACATTCTAACGGTTCTGATTTGTTGACTACCTATGCTCTTGTTAATGTATACCTGCACCAACACACACCGGATCCTTTCTCCACAGCTCAAAATACCACATCAACTCCCTCTCACTTTCTCTCACACCCAAAAACACACAGTAGCAATGGCGACTTCTTCATCGTGTTACACATTTCCTCTGAACACCGGAATCTTCTCGAAACAGCAATCAATCCTACCTCCTTCCACCTTTCTTCTCAGCTGCTTCACCAGACGCTCACATCTCTCTCTCCGGTCGATACCAGGGCGGCCGGTGTTAGTGGCGGCAACCGCCAACACCGTTGATGTTGAGAAGTCGGCGGTGGCGGAAACTCCTTTGAAGATTCTGCCGTTCCGAGTCGGCCATGGGTTCGATCTTCATAGATTGGAACCTGGTTACCCTCTTATCATCGGAGGCATCAATATTCCACATGACAGAGGTTGCGAAGCTCACTCCGATGGTAATTTGTTTTGTTGTTGCTTGAATCTATGACTCCTATCTCTCAATTATGTTACCAACTATTAGGTATTCAACTTAGGTCATATATGCAATGTTTATTTAGAATTGTACTTATCATAGCTGTTAGCAATTATTTTCGAATTACGCCACTTAGTTGCGTCTTTCACGAAGTTATACATGTCGTGTGGTGTTCTGCTTGTGAAAATTCAACGTCAAACACAAGTACGAATCTCATAATAATAATGTTATTTATCATAAAATAATTTGTGGACAACTTTATTGTACATATTTTGAGGTTCACAACACTCCAAATCACATTTACTGAGCATGCCAAAGATCGTATTTAGATAAATTGTACATTTAGGAATTTTGTGTGAAATTTGATAAAATATACCTTTTGAACAAAACTCATTTTGAGTGGACAAAAGGTTGAGGATCATGAGGGGGAAAAGTATGAAATAAATGATAAAATTGCAGCTGAGTTCCTTTACATAAGAGATTATATGTGCAAAATCGGAAATGTTAGATGTAAGATTCGCTTGGCTCATTGAACAAAATAAATTGTATCTTAGCAAATTATTGGATTTGGAAGCAAGGTAATACTTAAAAGTCAGTGTGAAGATGGTACATATATATGTTGTAAAATTTTGATTATATTGTTCATATATATATATATGAATGTCTGACAGTATGTAGTTTTGTTCAATTGATTGGGGTGTTTTAGGTGATGTGCTGTTGCATTGTGTTGTTGATGCAATTTTGGGTGCTTTGGGACTACCTGACATTGGGCAGATTTTTCCGGACTCTGATCCTAAATGGAAAGGAGCAGCATCATCGGTTTTCATCAAAGAAGCTGTAAGATTCAGAACTTTATCATTAACTTTCTAACTCATTATATTGTGTTGCATTAATCCTTTAGGCACTTGTGGTTGAGCTCACTAGTCACTACTTATCTCTATATTATGTTAGAAGGTATATATTGCACCCCAAGTCCAAGTTTTACAGAATGAGGTGTGATAGGCTACATATAGTTTATAATTCCACTCTTGAAGGCATTTTAAAGAACAACCAAACTGCGGGACTCTATTCCCATAGATATTAAAAGAAGAAAGGAAAGGGAAGTGATCTTCCAACACTATAACACAAATATATGATTCATAAATTCATGAAATATATATGCAGTTGTTCTTTGGTGGTTTATTTTTCATGGATTCAACCTGTTTATAGATTTACAAATTTCGTATTGCCATCAAGGAGGAACACGATTGATGGAGATACCTCTTCCTGTGTTACCAGCAGACCCCAATCCCCATCGGGTAATCGGGGAATTTCTGCGTCTACATATATGTGTGTGCGTGTGTGCCAGTTTCACGTGTAAACAATATATCAGCTAAAACGTTAGTCAACCAAGTTTTAATTGTTGCATTTGTATAAAGTTACATTAAACAAACATAGTTCAAACACACAAATATCAATTACGATACTTAATAATTGGAATTTTATACAACCACGTTTATATCACCAAAAGGAATTTCAAGTTAAAAGCACAAACTTAGTCAACTACAGTAAGGAAGATGATAATTAATTTTGTTGATTGCAAGAAATAAAGGTATTTGGGTGAAGGCTAAGCAAACCCCTCAGTTCTGCAATTCCCTATATATATATATATATGATAAGATTTGAGGTACTTTGTCTTCTTCCCATGTATATTTATGATAATACGGGAAACATGGTACTAAATACCATCAAGACATTTGCTGAAGTAAAGAGAAAGAACACTGTAGGCATGAATGAACCATACTTTTCTCTACCAATTAGGTTGTAGATAACACAGAACATATTAGCCAGGGGTCTTCATGGAAACAACCGCTCTACTCTTAGGTGGTAGAGATAAGGTTTGCTTACATCTTACCCTCCCCATACCCCACCTTAGGTGGGATATACTGAGTTGGTTTGATTACAGCGAACATGTTAGTATAGAAAATAAAGTTCATGGTCAAACAAAGATGTAGGATGGTTTGCTTTAAAGGCGAAGACTATGTTTTTGAATACTAGAATTTCACATCTCAGATTTCAGTTGCATGTAATTGACATCGAGGATTCTTTTTGTCAAAATTTTGTGTCCGAGGTACCTACATAAATGGCTAGTCTAGTACTTGTCAATTACTCCATTACTAAGATTTTGTTTATCTTTTCAGTTTTAGTTTGGTGTTATCTTACCTCTTATTGGCATCCTACATTTTTTTTTTTTTTTTAACCAAATATTTGGCCATGCGAACCGTAAAATTGAAAATGAGTATAAAATAAGTTTTTTTTTTTTTTTTTGATTAACCTGGATATCCAACCTGCTATGCTAGCTGACTAATCCTAGGGCGACCACCCACTTCTCTGTTATATTCTATTATGTCATATCGAGTGTATCAAATGCTCCCCAATAGTTCATTCCGCTTAGTTTGTTTTTTTACAAAATCTGTATAATTTGATCAGTAATCAACTAGACTACCAAAACTAAACCTCGGATTATTGATTTAATATATCAGGTGAGACTGATGCACGAGGCCGGTTACGAGCTAGGAAACTTAGACGCCACTTTGATACTTCAAAGACCAAAATTAAGCCCTCACAAAGAGTCGATTAGAGCCAACTTGTCTCTACTCTTAGGCGCAGACCCTCGTGTTGTGAACCTGAAAGCTAAAACTCATGAGAAGGTCGACAGCCTTGGAGAAAATAGAAGTATTGCAGCACATACCGTCGTGCTTCTAATGAAGAAGTAAACAAAGAACATAAGAATTATATTGCTTTTCGTTCACTTCATCGTATCAAGATTTAATAGAAACGTGAACGACGAGTATTAGTTTTATGGTATTATTATAGAAGTTGATACAAAAGTCATGAATCTGGATATAAATCTTAAATGTTTCATACACAATGTTTGAAATCAAATTATGGTTTCCTTTTCTTGTTTTGTTTTATAAATGATGGTTTCATTTGCCAAAAGCTTACATTGCTCAGGATGGATGTCTACTGTGTATGAAGTTACTTGTTTTATGTGCATTAAAGGTTGTACCTTGAAGCCACATAACTTTTAGGACCGGGAAATGGCCTTCGGGTTTTCGGTAGAATTAGGGTGCTTTTGGTATGCGGGATAAAGATTTCACAAAAAAAGAACTTCTTGTTTCCAGTTTTGCATGATATTTGACCGTGACAGAAGATGACCTGAGTGTGATAAAAATACATTTTTTATCTCTCACTAAAATATATTAATCCACTCATGAATTACATCATGAGATTGAATAAACCATTATTGTTTCAAAGGGAGTAGAGAGGTTGTTCTTCATTTTTGCTTTATTTACTTGTTCTATATTTACAAAACTCTACTTTTAACACTTCGTTAACGTTAGCATATATGTCCTCGAACCTTTTACATTTTTTTCATTAGTCGACAGAAATAAAGTTTTTAATCCCTTGGAATAAAGGTAAAATTTGCATGCATCGTATCCTCCAGATGATCAATATTACTAGGGGTGTTTAAAAACCCGACCAATCCAACCCAACGTGAAATAACTCAACCCGAAGCAACCCAATGTCTAATTGAGTTGTAAATTTTTTAAACCGTAGGTATTTGGTTGATATTCGGTTACTATTATTTGAACTCAACCTAACCCTATGAACCCGATATCCTTTTATTTCTTGGATTTAATATGATTGTTAGAATTTATATTAATATATACATTAGACAATTACCTATCACGTATGTTCTTCATATACATATTTTTTCAATCTATTCACATCTCTATATAACTCATTCGTATATTTGTTCAGTAACTGTGAACATATATATGTAAATTGAGAAAAATAACTGAATGTGATACATGTAAGAAGTATAGGTAAGTTGTATTAAATGGTTGACGATAAAAAAATTATGAGTAGAGCAATAGCATATTTAATGTTAGAATAATATTTTAATGTATTAAAGTATTAGCCCGACCAACCCGTACGGTTTCGGTTGGGTTGGATTGCACTTTGGGTTGGGTTGGGTTAAGATTTTTCAAACCGCAAGTATTGGGTTGGGTTGTTCAAATGTCTTTAACTCCGTCAACCCAACCCAACCCATCCCATGATCACCCTAAATATTACTACTGGGTAACTTTAGCTTTTGTTTCCTATTGGCCCAAGGTTGGACCCTGTGGCATGGGCCATCGCTTCGCACCTCCGTCGTATTGTAAAAAAAATTAGGGTCGTGAAAAGTGACACCGTATCATTTCTTTTGTACAACCATGTATATTTTAAAACTACAATGAGAATGTAAGTTTCTTTTAGTATAGTTGGTTGGCAACTCTTTTTTTCCCATCCCAAGTGTAGGTTTGAATCTCGTTTGAGTTATTTACTCAGTTTTTAGCTTTTAATTTTAGATTTCTTATGTTTTTGAAAAAAATGACCATAAAAAACTCGATCACAGAACCTCACATAAGAAAAGTGAGGAACCAACCAACCGACTGTTAACAATTTTATGAAAATCATCCATTTATTGTTTCTTATAGTCAAGATAAGTGACACATTGTAAGCAGAGATCTAGTAAGGGGCCGTTTACCAAACGCTTACCCGGGTGAGGCTTACCAAGTAACATTATCTCACCGGATGAATATGGTAAGGACCAAGAATCTTACCCGATAAGAGCGAGACAAGAACCAAGAGTCTTACCTGGTAAGCAAGGGCGACGACTCTTACCACGGTAAGCGCTTACCGGGTAAATTGTTGCCTACGATGTCGTTTTGGTGGACTAAAATTTTACCCAGTAAGTAAATAATAGTGTTAAATTTTACCAGTAAGCACTTACCAGGTAATTGTTTAGTAAACGACTCCTAAAAGTTTAGTAAACATTCCCTAACTCCTACCTTTTAAGTACACTGGACAAAAATAATAATAAATTTTAAATCATAAAAACAACAATAAATTGTAAACCACATGGATGAATATCACAATTTCAAAAACCAAAGAGTCAAAAATAGCAATTTTCAATAAATCACATGGACGAAAACGTAATTTACTCAAAAATAAAATAAAATCTACACATACAAAGTTAAGCAGCAGATTATTGGTTTTATTAGAGCAGGAGAAACACTGACTTTATTACTCAACAATTAATTGGCCAACAACCAAAAAGTAGGCCAATGTTTTAGGATTGAATTCACGGATAGGCTTTTGAGAAGATGCTCTGCATTGTTGTACCTTCTGCATTACTTAGATAAAGCCTTTTTGCCTATGTGTCCGTCTATCATTCCATCTCTACCTCTGTGAATGAAAAAAGAAAAAAAGAACAATTAAATATGGGCATTTACCATGAGGATTAGGGATGGTGATTTGTCCCGATTCGGTGGGGAACCCGGTTCATCTAATTAGAACGTGGACGAGGATTCTCCGCTAAAACGGGTCCCGGGGCCGGGGATCCCCGGTAGAATCAAACTAAATGATACTATTTATGAGGATTGACCGGGGTTTTACTGGATTTTGACCGGGGATTGCTAAAGATTTGACCGGTGCATATAATATTACCCATTGCTATATACACTCCTTTTAATATTATAATCGAGTCAAATTATGCATTGAAAAAACAGGCATTGATGCATGAGAAAATCAATAGGTAGGGTGCATTTAGTCCACCCCTAAATATTGACATTGGCTTGTAAACTTGGGATCACGTAAGACCATCATATTTTCGTGAGACCATTTTTTTACACTTGAAACTTCACAGCAAAACGTTGTGAATGTGTGTTTTTGCTGTGAAGGTTCGGCTTATTTTTACTTTCACAGCGTTTTACTGTGAAGTTTCAAGTGTAATAAAGTAATCTCACGAGTTTCATGAAAACATACTGGTCTCACACTAACTTAACCCTTGGCCTCTAGGTCAGGGATTCAAGCCTCACCAAAGGTGAGGATGAGGATGGTGAGTGTGAATTTAATTGTTATATTTGTTCTACATTCGGCAGTGGTCCATGTGGTATGCTTGAATTTTGGATTTGGTCCTTAAAATTAATTTACTGTAAAATAAATTGTGATTCACATTTTTTTTAAATTTAATTTATTAATTGTATTTTTAAATACAGTTTAAAAAACTGATTATTATATCAATTTAACTGTTGTAGCTTATTTATAATTATTTGATAATTTAATTTAACAATATCTTATAATATTTTAACTTAAAACATAATTATTTTTTTCATAACAGAAAAATTAATATGTACAATTCCATGTTAACCGCACTTAAAATATTTTTAATATTTAAAAAAAATATGTGAATCACAATTAATTTTTTAATGAATTACATTTTTGGCCCTTGTAGTTTGTCCATAGACTTATTTGTCCCTCTTAACGGTTAATTCTAGGGACCTTGAGTGTTATGAAATTGAAAAGTTAGAAAACATCAGGTGTGGATAGTTTGTTGTAGGGACCAAATCCAAAATTTGAGCAGACCATAGGGACCACCAATGTAATTCACTTTATACAGATCCGTAAAGATAAGATCTGTATACATCTTATCATTTCTTTCCAAAAGATATTGTATTCTCATATCTTATCAAAAATAAAGTAAAACTAACGGTTGATGATGACTTTAGAGCATCTCCAATAGATTCTCCAAAATAAAAAATCAAACCTCCGACAGTTTTTCTAATTTAGATATTACAATATTAATTATATTATTAAAATATTTAATACAATTCATAAACTATTATTTCTCTCACTAATATAAGAAAAGAATGACTTTTTTATTCTTGAAAAACCTCCCCAACCAGCCAATAAAATTATAGAGGCAGAGAAAAATGAATTTTTTTTAATATAATTAATATTAAGGGGGTGTTTGGTTAGAGGTATTAAGCAATGATGATGAAAATAAAAGAAACTGTTTGGTATTATATAATATAATGGGCTTATTCCCCATAAGCCCAAATTTTCATTCCAGATTAAACTGGATTCCCATTTTCATTCCCCAGAATGAACCAAACAGCCCCTAAATTCTCGAAAATGGAGAAGTAGAGTTGAACATAAATTTTCTTTTGACTTTTGCTTCTTATTTATAAAGAAATTATGAATTTAAAGATTAGAAATGGAAGCAAAGTTGTAACCTGTAAAGAAGCTGTAGCAATTTGAAGGGCCTCCTCAACTGAAGCTGCACTTTGAAGTTTGACTTTGTCAATAGATGGTTGACTCCTTGCAAGTTTAGGCAGCAATTTGAACTCCTACCACCAAATAATCAAGAAACAAACCAAATATGGTCAACCTTGCAATTGCAACCAACATTTTTGATTTTTCACAGAATGGCTGTGATTATGAAATTGGTAACACATAATCTTGATGAATTTTAGGGAAAAAGATGAGTTCTTAGCAACCACAAGTGTTACATACCTCTGGAGATCCACTTTCAAGAAGAACCCCCTTCAATTTACCTGTGGAAAACCAAAAGAAATATTTATCCTGTCACAACTAGTCGAGGATAAAAGACTTCAAGACTGGACTGGACTGGACAGGACAGGGTGGGACGGACGAGAATCAGGTAGACGGGTGAAAGAATTGTGAAAGGTTTAGGGTTTTAAATTGATATGGGTAGTTTAGTTCTTGTCTCATCTCCGTTATTTTTGTGGACAGGAAAAATGCATTTGTATCCTAAATAGTCCTGTCTTTTCTTGTCCTGGTCTTCTGATGTCGCACGAAACGAGTTTTTGTTCTGTTATGTCTGGTCACCAGAGTCCAATTAGGGGTGTAAATGATGCGAGCCATAACCATTTCCCAAGCTTGAACTCGACTAAAAGAACTCGTGAGTTTAGTTTTTAAACTCGACTCGAACTCGATAGCAATTTTCTAAGAACTCGAGCTCGAACTCGTTTGAAGCTCGAATTAGTCTCAAACTCGAACCAAGTTCACCCGTTGAAATTTATTAAATTTTAGGGTATTTTCTTATAAATTATAAAACTTAAAGACGTTCTCTTAAACTTTATAAAACTCAAGAAATGTACCTCAAAATTCATTATTTGCAAAGACAATATTACAAACACCGTTCTCACCTTTTCTTTACAAACTCCACCAACACTTTTATAGGGTTTTTTTGTCTTTTTATAATTATGATTTTAGTTAAAAAATAATAAATGATTATTTTTTATAGTTACAAAATGTACAATTTATATAAAAATAAAAAATAATAATTGATTAATTTTGTTCTAATATATAAAAATATACTACATTTTTCTTTTTATTTAATAAATTTTTTTAATATAAAAAATATAGGAGAAATGATCACACAGGCACAATAAGGGAAAGAGAAGATTTACCAGATTCCAACCAGAAGGTCGCAATTTTTGGATCGAAATTCCCAATTTGAATTGCCTCCCCCACTGTTAATTCAACAAGATGTACCAAGTTTAGCAGCATAACTTTGGTTTCAAAAGGTATTTAGGAAAGTTGAGATTGTTTACCGTTATCGCCAAAAAATTGCCACCATACTTTCCTTGAGGTTCCTTCATATTCGAAAACCCTCGAGTAGAAGTATGGGAGATAGTCATAATTGCGAGTGTTTGCAGTTAGTAATGCTTTTACGCAATGCTGAGCCGAACCACGAGCATGATCCACATGTTCTACGCGTGAAATCCTATTATACATCTGTTCATCACAAACCAGCAGATATATATATATATATATATATATATACACACACACACATCAATATCAATCTAGAAAACAATATAGGAGGGTAGTACAGTAGCTGACTAGTTTCAAGAAAAGCATACTTTCAGTGGGAATGCTGCTACATCACCAACAGCAAAAATTCCTGGTACATTACTTCGAAACAGACCATCAACCTGGAAGTTTACATGGATCTTTGATTAGCAATGGTGGGCAGGAACAAGGATTTCAACTTCAAAATCCATGTAGTAAATGAACCAAGCAATGTTTTTACACTGTTCCGGTGCGTTTAGTATGTGGGTGAAAGAAATCTGGAAGGTTTTGGGTATTAATTTCACATGGGTAGTTTAGTAATTTACCAATCATATCTTATCTCCCTTATTTTTGTTTTACCTATATTGATGCGACAGAAAAAATGCATTTTTGTCCCTCATCCCGTGACATGTCCCAATCTAATGTTGGAACAAGTTTTCATATACCAAAAACACCCTTACAGTTATGGTCAAATGGTAGATACTATTGGTACACCTTTCTTTTAAAACTCAGGCAGACCTAGAATTTTTTTCAAGTGGTGGTACCATTTGATTATAAAATATATGGATATTTTTTACAAAATTATAATTGGTCTGTGGTTAGTTCCTTGCCTTGTGTATGTGAGGTTTTGTGTTCGAGTCCTTTATCCCAAAAAATTTCAAAAAGCATAATAAATTTGAAATTAAAAGCTAAAAGCTAAGAAAATGATACAGAAGGAATTCGAACCAAACCAACTCTACCAAGAGAAACCTATGTTATTTTATGGTTGCACCCAACAAAATAATACGGTGGCACCTTTGACTACCCTAAATTTTTTTACACTACGACGGAGGAACGAAGCGGTGACCCGTGCCACCGTGTGCAACATAGCGGGTCCGCGTGCTTTAACTCATAAACTATAAGGTTTTTACTTGAGATCTGACACTTTTTCAATGTAATTTGCAGAAATCATCATTTAACACCACCGGTTTAGACTTTAGATCTTTCAACAAACAAAAAGAAGAATTATCCTAACCTGTATTCCACCAACAGTTGCATTTAAACCGACAGCTTTATCAAAAGGACTGACTGCAGGTTTTGCTCCTATACCAATAATAACCTGCAAAAATGCTTTATCAGTGTCCAAACAACTTAAAACCGCAACAAAGTTTTTGCTTAAAATCTTCCTTCATATTACCAAATCTGCTTCAATGGTAGACCCATTTTCAAGTTTAACAGCAGTAACATTTCCATCAGGACCAGCTTCCAAGTTTTTGATAGAGGCACCCTGTGAATGAAAAATCAAAGATTATGCATGTGTTTGTGTGTAGAGTATTATTGGCTACGGTGGGTGGGAGAGAAAGAAGAGAGAACCTTCATGAACTTGACACCGTTCTCTTGGTAGAGTTCTTCGTATTTCTGGGCCAGTGAAGGAGTGAAGAGCCTTGGGAGAAGATGACTTTCAGGAAATATCACCTATTGTTGGACAAAAACGCAAGTTAGAAGCTAGCTATGCAGGTTTTATGGTTCAGAAAAATATATAGTTATGAATTATGATAACCAACTATTCATGAATATCATGCATTTTCATTATTCATGATATTTGTGAGAATATGTGGAACTCATCAGATTACTCTCCAAAGGAAAAGGGAGGTTCCATCATATATAGAGGAGAAATGATCCAAGCCGATGTGGGACTCTAAGACGCCTCCTCCAACAGAGGTAGACGGGTATAGATTACTGCATAATGTCTAGTCCCTAGAGTGGTAGACGTTGGCTCCGATATCATGTGAGAATATGTGGAACCTCGTCTATTTACCCTCCAAAAGAGCCCTTTGAGGAGATAAGGGATGTTTCATCATGTATGGAGGAGAATGGTCCAAGTCTAGCCGATGTATGACTCTTAACAATATTTATCATGAATATCAAGATATTACTTATGAATACTTTAAAAATAGTTCTTTATAGCTTAATGGTGATTTCTAGGGGCAAATGTTTAAATCACATAGACACAAAGTTGTTAAAGGCTCAAGGTGCACTTGGGCGCAACGGGGTCCCAGGGCCTAGGCGCAAGGAGCAGGCGTGAGGCGTGGGTCTCAGGAATGCGAGCGCATCTTATCAATATATATACACACACACAGTTACACACAACAAGTCTCCAATGTATCAACCAACAGTAATTCAATAGAGACAGAAGGGTCTAAAGCGTGAGCCATGAAAGGAGAAGTTTTAAGGTCTGGATATTTATAGAGAAGGAGGCTTGAAGTTCTATGGACTTAGTATTTAATATTAGGTTTTACTTATATCATCTATTTAATAACACTTCTTTTAAGAAATCTAGGAGATGAGAAGATGAGAGAACTTATTTAATCTTAGGGTTTAACTAGGTATTTAGTAACTCTTTATGCACCTAGGTCCACAAGGCGTCTCAGCCAACGCGCAATGCCTTAGTGAACCTCGTGAATACATTGAGGCTCGACTTGAAAAAGCCCAAGACCTTGAGCCTATGAGCCTAAGGGCGCCTCAGGCGCGCTTTTGACGACTATGAGTAGACAAGTGATAACTTTCTTCTTTTCTACCTTCAACATAACTTAACATTCTTTTCTACCTTCAACATAACCTAACATTCTTTTCTACCTTCAACATAACTTAACATTCTTTCTGTTACGATGCTTGTAGAATTTTTTAAGTTCATGCATATCCCCTAGATGAAGAAATTTTTGTCAACGTTAAGCATTTCAAGTTCTTTTTGTTTCTCTATGAATAAGATAAAAGCGCTCAACTTCAAAAGACTTGCTTGAATAGGCGAACTAAACCTGCGACTACTAATTAGGCCACTATCGTTTACTGAAACAAATATGGGATAAAGAATACATGCAAACATAAAAATAGTTGGATACAACCACAAGGGTTGTGGGGCATTGGTCAAGGGCCCAGGGGGGTTGTGGTGGAACATCCCATCTGCCTCTGATTAGATTCAAGGTGCCCACAACAACTGTGGCCACTGAGTTTATCAGGGCCGATGTCTTACAGTTCACTTTTCCCTCTGCCTGATTAGTTTGGGCTAGCTTGGGATACCCATCTAAAAAAGGTTGGATAGCTATAAGAAGTAAGACCAAAATCTAAAGGAGGGATAGCTGATTATTTTGATCGCAGTCCCTCAAAGCCAAAAGGCAGTTGACAAAGAAAATGGGTTTTTTTTTTTGGGGGGGGGGGGGGGGGGGGGGATCTACTCAGCCGTGACCTCCACCTCGAAGAGTAGAATGACTGTTTCCGTGAAGATCAACAACTTGTGTGTGTGAAAACATTCGAAAAAGAAGAACTTGAAAATAAGAAAGACAATGCTACAAATTATTGGAGTAAATTCTTACAGTTGTGTCAAGTTTCCAGCCAACAGTAGCAGCTGCAACTTCCATGCCAATATAGCCACCACCAACCACAACTACTTTTTGTGCGTTTCCCTAGGAAAGTATTTCCATCAGAATAAATCACTAGAGATTTTCCTAGAATCATGTTTGATATAGGATAGCTATTACCAACCAAATCCACCTAGGAAACAGAACAAGAAACAATTACCAGTGATGATATTAATGAATCAGCATCGGCAACATCCCGTATATAGTGAACACCACGCAAGTTTCCACCAATTTTCTCTGGAAATCTGAAACATGGGACGTTAAGTTACAAGATTCTTATATTTATGGATACTTGAATGGTCAATATAAAGACATGATATGGCCTTATATGTCTATAAGGTAGAGTTTGATAGTCAGACAAGACTAGACAGGACAAGAGAACATAACTGGATAGGATTGTCTTTCTGGCATTTGGAACGACTAAGATTGGACAAGATTGCGCTGGAGTTCCAAGTGTTGTTTGATGATTTTATATGATAGTTAGTGGTGGTGGTGGTGGTGGAAGTGGAGGCGGTGATTCTAGCAAGGATACTGAGGATGTAAAAATCCCTAGCAACTTTCAACTATACAGAAAGAACACTTTTTTCTTCCTTACATAAACATGCAGTACTTAACTTGCACATGAGCATCTATAACAGAGATATGGGGTAGTATGCAGTCTTCCCAGTACCTACCTAGATGCACTGCACCCTGTGGCGATTATGAGGGATCCATATTTGAGCAATTTTCCTGAATTTGTTGTTAATGTTTGCTTCTCTGCATCAATTGCTGTCACCGGATCTTCATAAAACATCTGCATCAACCTTGGGAGTTAAGAATATTACACTTTCACATGAATCAAACACAGCCACAGACAAAATACCAAGGGTGGAAACAGTTCAAGATTTGCTCTTCCTTCAACCAGAATAATCTAGATTCTAGAAGCCAGTTTGTTAGACACATTCTAACCTTCCAACAATCATAGTCAACTGCATTACTAGAATTTAAATCTTTGATTGGAAAAATCTATGGCAGACAAATATATAGACCAGAAAAACCAGAGATTGAATAAAGTCCATTGCAATGGAAAAGAAGTCATGTCTAAATTTCTATTTGTTTGCATAAAGATAAGGAGTCCGAATAATACCTCTATCCCTTTCTCCTTGTACCATTCAGGAGTCTGCCTCTCACCTCCAGAGCCCACACAAGTATGAAACCCCTGGAAGAGTATCAATAGTGAAAACCAACTACAGTCGACATATTTGCATAATATAAATAGATGCCACTTAAAAGCACTCATATTTACTAGAATTGAAGTGGCCATATATAACTCAAAAGCATTGATAAAACTCCATGGCACCATTTGCAGTGCCATTTATTTTATCAGTACCAGTTTCTGAAATATGTTTCCAAAGTGTACAATGTATTCCTTTCGTGTTTGGTACGTGGGACATGACGGCATAGGATAGTTACAAAAACTTCTTGTCTCACGTTAGACTGGGACAGAATAGACCTGAGTGTCAAAAAATGCCTTTTTATGCTCCACTGAAATAGGTGGAACAAAAATCAAGGAGATGAGACAGATTGGCAAATTACTGAACTACTCATGTCAAATTAAAACAATTATTTTTCCCGCCTATCTCTCTCTCACCCGTCCAGTCCAGTCTGCATACCAAACGCACACATGTTATCATGCTTTAGTAACTATGACTTTGTACAATAACTTAAGATCAATCAAAACTGACTTACTGGCAAACGAGCTGGCTTTTTGTCTAAAGGAAACAGGTAACCTTTTGTCAGAGCCGGGCGCTCATATGGAGCATATGCCTGCATTGACATTATATTCATCCTTAAGTTATAGCAGGTAACAAATTCATCAAAACACCAAGTTATAATCACTAGCCATCACCTCCCTACATCATACAATATTTCATCCACTGTACCTCTCCTAAAACAATCCAAATTTTAATTTGTTCAAATTTGGGACATATCTCTATATCATTATTGCTCCTCCCATTTCAAAGATGATATATAATAGCTACATTTGTATATATTAGTATCACACAAATTTGTATAGATTTCTAGATTTTGCAAGTAAGATATTGATTCTAGTTTTTGGAACGAAGGTGGTATATAAATTTGCTACGTTTCAGGACTTATGGAATGATGCAATCTGAAGGCCTGATTTGCAGCCATTAACCTTCAGTGATCCAATCAATATATCAAATTTGTTCTTGGTTTGTGCTTACCTTTTCTCCATTTAAGAGCCTTGAACCTTAAACCCTAAACCCTAATTAATTGACAGATAAACTAAATACCTCTTTGGAAACAATACAGAGCTTTCCATCAGCCATCCCTTGTTCGATGAAAGTTCTAGCTGCATATCCAGCAGCATTTCCACCTCCAACTATCACAAACCTTCAACCAGTACCAACCAAAATCACACAAAACCATTCAGTAAAAAAATCTCGATCAATCAAAATAATTATAGAAAAAAGTAACATAAACAAATCAAACTCACTCTCGATTCTGATTTGCAAAAGAGGACGATGCAGAAACAACGAAGTTTCTCCGATGGAAGCTTCTGGAATAAATCACCGAAGAATGATGACGATCGAGAGATGGAGATTGAGGACACCAAAGTGAAATCCCATGCTTAATTGACATTGAACTCGATATACTCGCCATTGATCGTCTAACAATCGCAACTTCTCGAAATTTCCAATTTGACGAAAAAACACAACAATTAGGGTTTATGATGAAGTGTGTCTGCAAGAGATATGTATAGAGAGGGAGAAAAGGAAGATCAAACCTGATTGCATAATGAAGAAGAAGATCAGAGAGTATTTATCTGTGTATATTGAAATTAATTAGAAACTAAAATAATAATAAAAATTTTGGCTCTCCGACAGATCGAAGGGACAATTGATGATGCACTTTGAGGACACTGAAGAAACCTCTCTCTGTTATGGTTCTTGGTAACTGTGTCGTTACAGTAATGGTGGAAGTCGCCATTGGAGGCTGCTTCCATTAATTTCCAAGCTTGTATAGCAAGAAAAAACTGCAATTTTCAGCATCCAACATCCAACACCTGCTCTCATAACTTCCGGGAAAAAAATTTACTCAAATAACATTAAACTACTTTGTCTTTTATTTTCATTTTGGGTAACAACGTATTTTAAAAAATTTGATTTTACTACTGTTTTAAATATTTAATTATTCGAATAATTGGTTGAAGACTAATTTTAATTGAAAAAAACTAATTTTAGATTAAAAAAAGTTTATGTTATTAATCACGGTAAGTTGGATACCACGTCACTTGTTATATCAACATGATAATCGGTTAATGTTTCAACCAGTTACACGAATACTTAAATATTTAAAACTCTATATTCTAGGTACAGAGATGAAAGTTTTAAAAGTACGTCACCTAAAATGAAAATCAATTTAAAGTATGTTATTTTTTCTTGCTATTTGCTCTTTTTACCAAAAGATGGTTTTTGTATAAAGTGTATTTTTAGGTAAAAGATATTTAAAAAAATACATTTTCACGCAAAAAGAAAAATCTTTAGGCAAAAAATTCCAAGGTTTTTACGTAAAAAAAATTACATTGTGTAAACTTATAATTATTAATTTAATTTATTTTGTATTCCTTACTTTTTTTATCTTCATTTTACACATTTATTAAATTAACAAACATAATCGTATATCAACTAAAATACATGAAAGATATATGTTTCTTCTTTTTGTAAATTACCCTATTATAATCATCTCGTCAATTTATCCAAAACAAACCCGATATTAAAAAATTAAAATATTTACTACTATAGGATTAAATTTAATATTGGGCTCATTTTGAATATATTGATTAGACGATTATAATGATATGATTTTTAAAAAAAAAAATGTATTTTAGTTAATATACGATTATGTATGTTAATATAATAAATATGTAAAATTAAAATACAAGAGATATAAAAGTAAATTAAATAACTAATTATAAGAATGTAAAGTATAATTTTTTTTACTAAATTGAAAGTGAGTGAGTTATACTTTTGGTCCTTGTGGTTGCTATTTGTTATCAAGTTAAGTTTCTATTTTAAACTAATTACACTTTTGATCACCGTGGTTGCTATTTTGTTTCAATTTTGGTCCTTCTAGCTAACTGTAGTTAAAAGAGTAGGCTAACTTAAGGATATTTTAGTCTTTTAATCATTTTCTTTTATTTTAATTGAAAAATAAAACAATATATATATACTAGAAGGATACTCGTGCAATGTATCGAGACACATTTCCATTTCAATGTTTCGATTTATTTTTTATACATGTCGATATAATACGATTTTATATTGTTTTGAAAATTAATCTTTCTATTTTTGAATAAAATATAAATTTAAAAATATCATATAAAATTTGCAAAAAATATATCAATATTAGTATCAAATTAACTATTTAAAAGTTTTTGTTTGTATATTTTTTTTAATTCAAAATTTTATTATAATTTAATTTAACGTAACGAAGTAACTTAATTTATGTTTAATAATA